CATTAAATCTGATCAAACCAGTCAGTGCATTTCGTTGTATATGAGGGCATATCTCCTGTCAGTGAGTGTGTTATTAAAATACTAGAAAGAGTTAGGCGGTGAGCTCCCTTTCAGAGGAAAAGAAGCCCTGGGGGAGATAAATGAATCATAGGATCTCAGGAGACGTAGGGGACACACAGACTTGGACAATAGCAAAAGCTACAGATGGCACCGCTCTGAAAAGGATCGGACATGGAGTATGAACCTCCCACAGGGGAATGTATGGATGTCACCGCTGGAAGCTAATCCAGTTTGCATTGATGTGTCCAATGTGAAGAGTCATTTTAGCTTCAGAGAACACAGAGTCAATATAGTCTTAAAGCTTTGGTATTTTGGAGGCTGTGGACAGAGACAGGATGAACCCTGTTTGCTACGGTAGAGGGTAATAAACGGTTACAAATAAGAAGCTTTATAGTACTCTTGAGAGTAAAATAACAGCTTCAGTGATTCCAGATGTGTTCATCTTAATGTGGCTCCACAGGAGACACACGTGCAGGTCATTGCTAACACCAACCGGCTTTTGCTTTGCAGGGGGCAAGAACACATTTTGTACAATTACACGGTGGGGATAAAAGCACACAGAGGTTCAGACAACAGTGAGAAAGAAATGAAAACATACAAGCCTAGCAAGAAGTGAAACATGTACTTCAGAAGAAATTCAATAGGAAAATATCTCCAGTGTCCCAGATGTTCTTTTAAAAAAACTGTAACCCTAGAATAGCTCTCTATCACACAGCCTGGAAGCCAGAGCTTTTAGGTGTGTCTTTATCTTTAAATAGGTCATGTTGTTTGGCCAACAGGCTTGAGGGAAATGTCTCTTGAAAAACCAGCTGAAAGAACAGAACAAAAGAAAGAAACTGCTCGAGGAAGGATTATTCAAGGTCTGCGTCTGCGTTTGAGCTCGCATGCTTTTGGAAAGATCAAATTCTCCCGGTGAGGACTCGAAACGGTGTGGAAGTCACGGCTTGTTCTCTTTTGCCATCACAATGAGCACTCAGATTAACTGTAGCAGCAACAGGATGAAGGCTGGCTGTGTCTAATTATATCAAAACTGCTGATGGCTCTTTCTACCTTTCACGCAACATGACGCATGAGGACATTTAATGAAATTAAGACAGACGGGGGGAGAAAAAACAACAGAGAATCAGAACGTGAAAGTTCACAGCCAATATGACAAACAGAGAAAGGGGGGGGGGTTGAGGAAACACACCTGCACCACAGCTTTGAAGACAAGATAAAAGCTCCTCTTTATTACAGCACTCTGAGCATCATGTCAGTGTGCAGTGGCTTCCAAGCTGCTGCCATAGATATATACAATTTGAGTCTGCAACAATGGACACAAACATTTCTGTCCATTGATTTGCCAATTTGACATCACAGTGGAAAACACTTATCTTTTTTTAAATGACACACATGCCTAATAAAAAACAACAACAACAACAACGACAACACACCACCATCATGTGATCAGCGGTGGAGACATGACCACAGTAGCCCCGTGAGTCATCACTGTGGGAACAGCAACCGCGTCCACACCGTGCTCATCACTTTTCGGTGCCTCCTGAGAGCACTTTTCTGCTGCAGCCGAAGCCACTTTGCCACATAAGAGCCGCCACATTAGTAAATACACCATACGGGAGCTTTCCTCCTCTGTGCTGTGAGGTGTGTGTGGTAAAGGAGAAACGGTCCCGGCCGATCCTGGCTGCGTTTGTCACGTCTTGCTTCACTGCTTCTCTTTTTGAGAAGTGTGACGTCTGTGTACCATTGGTGTGCGGTGAAGCACACAGGGTATCTCAGCCAAGCTTTGTGCAGTTCGATGCTGAAATGCTCCCGTGAATCACAGACCCTGCCTAACAGACAGGGACTGTATAGGAGTGGGTCACAGAAAAAGCCTAAACTTCCTCCTTAGTCCTGCAACAAAATGGCTCTGACTGATTCCTGGATGCTGCCATGTTTAATGACTTGGCGGTGTGATGGAATGAAACACCTGCTTATTACGACGATTATCTTCAACTGTAAGGGTAAAAAGTGGGGAGGAGAGAGATTCCTATTCTCAATCAGATTACATCACATTCACAATTAGAGCAGATCTCATGCACCACTGCTTTGCAATGGTGTGTGTCTGAAACTCTAACGGCGTCTTTCAATGCAACACTGAGCTTTAGAAATCCCCAATCTCTTAATCTAAGCCATTTGCCGGGAAAATAAAGGAACATCTAAGAGTGTTGGCTTTAATTCACCATCTTTTCCAGAGAAAATGGAGCAGACACTGTCCAAGAGCTTAAAATGTGCCAGGTCGCCAGTGTGTTAACTCTGTCTATGATATGTCGTCATCAAAAGTGTTCTGTAATGCCTTTTCAATGTTCAGAACTAGAAAGCTGAATGGGATTGTTGACATATAACCAGCAATATATAGGGAGCTGCTACACCTAGTGGATTTTGATCAGAACTGCAAGAACCTCTGGCCAGCCGGGAGGCTCAATGTGACACACTGACCATCTTTCAAACCTTTTTGTACTTTCTTTTTTTCTTTGCAGCATGATGATAACAATTTGTTTGTGTCGTGTCAAAAACGATTGGTTCTGGGTGGACTTTCACCTATTCATCTTCACAGATATAGATTCCGTATTAAAAGTGGAGCGCAAAAATCCACAGCCACAGTTATGAATAATTGTGGAAATGTCCTCTTTTACAAAATGGATTCAATTTATTAGATGGTCTGCCACTGCAAATGAGAATGGAACAAATGCCATGGCAGACACAATGAGGATCGAATCTAATTTAAACTACAGAAGCACACGCCATCATCATTTTATCTTCCAAAAGTATTCGGCAGAGAGAGAAAAAAGGCCAGATTTTGTCCTCTGTTGTCTCCATTGAAAGCAGGTTTGAAAAGATTCTCTGTGCAGCCAGCATAAAAAGAACACATTTATGCAGCGGCCAAAAGCTGCTTTGATGAGCACAAAGGCAACTTAGCGTTTGACATTGTTCTTTAAACTTTGTTGGACCCCTTCCTCTTTTTTATCTCCAGATATTATCATGCATTTATTAGTCAAATCCTTTTTTGACCAGTCAGCCTGAGAAACTCCGATTAACTCGGTCACAATTCAAGTAAACTTCCCAAAACACATTTCCTCTGAAACTCTCTTGAATTATTGGGGCTTGATTTGTTTTAAATAGAACTCTCGTTATTTCTCACACTTCCTTCATTGAAAACATCTGAAACTGAGACTGTGTTATTGGCCATAGGCCATTAATGGCCTTACTATCAATTTAATGCTAGGTTTCATTTCCAAACAGCGGGGAGTAAATGGACTGTGAAATATGTTCTAATGGTCCCAAGATTTCTCCAAGTTTTAACAGAGGGGGAGAGACCATACAGTGCCCTGTTCTGACATCTGAGTCTGCACACATAATTTAACAGAGTTTTGGAGTCAGAATTCTTTGACAAACACAACTAAATCACTGAGTGCAAAGGGACAGCCTGCTGCAGTACCATGTTACAAAGTCCACAGAATGAGACTGACTCCATCTAAGTATATATTTGTAGACTCACATTAAACAAAGATCTGAACCTCTGCAATATCCACAACAATATAAAAACCCATGTTTACAATGATATAGCATGAGAACTGTGCTACAAATAAACATCTTGAAGGCATATTTGGCAGAATAAATAGTCATTAAAAAGCGTAACTCCTCTTCACTTTGGGCCTTCTGGTTATACATACACAACCATGGACACAGCGGTGGGTCCCGGCCTATTTCCCGAGATAATCTCAGAGGTTAGACCGATGTTTTGTCATGTTTTTAGACTAAAACACATTAACACAATAATTATCTAATGTAAAAGTAATGAACTATAAATTAGATTAACAAAACAGAGCCTAAAGCAGAAAGTTCAGCTTCGTTTTTCAAATAGTTGATCCAGACAAGAGCCGAAGTGACAGATAAAGTGGCCTGTTTGTGCAGCAGTGAGTGGAGCTGTCACTTTTGACAAGAATGGAACTAAACCATTTATAATCAACAATAACAATCCAAAAGACAGGGGAGGGGCAGGACACATTGTTAAATGAAATAGTGAACGTGGCACCGGCACGGTTTCCAAAGAAACCTGAACAGGACAAAGGCATTATAATGAATGATCTGGATGGCTCAGAGGCCTGTGGGAGGAGAGAGACGAGGGCTGATCACCAGAAATGTTTGCTTAACAAGCTTTCTGATTGGACAGCAGCTGTGAAGTGTCAGCGACTGAGGATTTCTAATAGTGAGCATCACGTACAGCGGGATGAGAACCAGAGCACTGAAAGAAAAGAGTGATGATGCCACTGGGGCATCGAAAGAACATTGGGAATAATAAAGAATTAAAAAGCTGAACTTTTTGAATACAAGGCAGCACTGAAACCAGATTTAGCTCTGTGAGTTCATTATCCAGCTTTCTGCTTAAGGTACTGTACAAAAAAGAAGAGAACAATGAAAAATTGTTTTCAAGTTCAAGTTAGGATTACACACATCAAGAAATAGTTTTGAATAATGTAGGTAACCACTGACAAATACATGAATATCTGGGATATCACAGAAAAATACCATGTGTCACCTGGGCTTCCGCAGATGCATTTATTGACACGCACCTGCCCAAACTCTCTTTATCTTATATATCCACATCTTCATTGCTTCTAAGTGAAAAATACACGTAAAAAGTCAGTAGACTTCAAAATATACATCCCACTTTTGGATTGTGGTTAATAAGGATGGTGTCAAAGCGTCAGTCCTCTGATTTCCATGGAGTCTCCTGAAAGTGGCACTCATCAATTAAACGTCTCTTTCCACCTCAAAGTGAGAAAATCACCTTGAGAAAGTTTCAGCACCACATCAGATTTTTTGCTGCCTCGTTTTTGCAGCATGACTGAATGACGCCGTCTTGTCAAGCCTTTCTTTTTTTTTTTTATCGCTGCATTCTCTCAGGAGAGGTGAAACAGGCTATAGCCTAGCTGTGAGGTGTACATGGCCAGGTGTGCGGAGGGCAGGAGGGGGGTCCGGCTGTACGAGCAGTCCACTCTGTAGAGCCCCGCTGACCCCGCCTGCAGGCCGACACTTTGCGAGAGAGCAAAGGACGAAAAACCGGGGAAGAACACAGCCTTGGACCCAGCGCCAGCAGGTATCTTGAGTTTCCCCACCTCGGCCTCCTGAAGCCTTTTGGCTTTGGCTCGTCTGTTCTGAAACCAGATCTTGACCTGGGTCTCGGACAGCGATAGGGAGGAGGAGAACTCGGCCCGCTCGGCGATAGATAGGTACTGCTTCTGGTGGAACTTCCTCTCCAGGGCCAGCAGCTGCATGGTGGTGAAGGGAGTGCGAGGCTTGCGGTTGGTTTTGTGCTTCCTCAGGGAGCACACGGCTGGACTAAACCGCTCTAGAAGACAGACATGTCATTCACTACACACCAGTTTACCATCTTAATACCCATTTTAGGCCAAAATTTGGCCTGGTCATATTCTAAAACTAGGGCGATGGGCTGTATTTTAAACAAATATACAAAACGCATCTCAGATTGGTGCTTTTATCTGGGAATCATGACGATCTAAACATCTATGCAATTATATTATATTGGATCAGATTAGATCAGATTAAATGAGATTAGATTAGGTTTAAAACATTAAAGTAAAATATAGTATTTTCTAAATGCAAATTTACATTGCTGAAAATAATGTCAGGGTAACATTAAATGATAAAAAGGGGTAAATTAAATTATTATAGCCATTTTGGGCTGAATGAACTCAAATGTAACCGATTGGTTACAGAAGTTTAAAGGTTAAGCTTTTCCCGTTGGATTTAACATTTCTTTTTCAGCGGGGAACTTTATCCCAGGCGTTTCTGATCTTATCCGCGCTCAACACGACCAATTGATAAAAGTTAACCTGGTTTATCAGTCAAGGATCAAGAGTGAAATCGTGCGGATGATGCCAATGATTTACTTACGACCTGGCACTGACATCTTAACCGAGCTGGATATCCAAGTCGGTACTTCCCCTTGTTCCAACGTCTCTGACTTTATGGATACTTGGGAAGTCTGATCCGGTCTGCGCGCAAAACCATTCGGAAAGGGGTCGCTTCCCTCCCGGCGGCTCCCGGCGGGCTGTATCGTGTCCGACATGAGCGCGTCCACGCTGAAGGGCAGCCTGGACACCTGTCCGGAGGGCCTGTCCGCCGCGGGGGGGTCAGCGTCTTCATCCGTGGACATCTCGTCCCAAAAGTCTGCGTGGGCAGACGCGCAGGCTTTTCTTATTAGATCGCTTTCTAATTCCAGTCCAGAAAGAAACTCCACGCATGCAGCGGGTTGTCGGAGAGAAATGTCGGAGTAACTTCTGCTGAGTTGACAGAAGTTGGTAGAAGTTGCAGCTGGAACGGGGAAAAAAAGCAGAGGCAAAAAGAAGGCATGCGTTCGGGACTCCCAGCCAGATGCGTCCTGATCCAGAATCTGGGAATAGTAGGTGTGATTGGACAGCTTTCTTTCTGCCACACCCCCCAACCACGCAGCAGGTCAACAACTCAGCAGTAACACAAAAACACACACACACATAATGTTACATGTATATAGTAATTAAGGATTAAAAAGTAAAGAAGAAAGGCTCATGATGTTTTAGAATAGACGCTGACATTAATATGCCACGTTTCTTCAGTCCACACACAGCAAATCCCTGCCCCACACTGTCAGCATGAATGAATTCATACAAAATCTTTATAAAATCGAGGATGAGCACAAAAGCCCTCATAACATAAGTGACGGTGTCACTATGGGGTCAGAGCGGAAATTGACCCACGGTCCTCAGCTCAATCCCATCCTGCAAATACACTGCTGGATCGGCCCTGCATTGTCTTGGATGGTCAGCGGCATCCAGAGAGGCATCTGTCTGCAAAGCCCTGGTTCTACGAAACAATACCTGCCAGAGCATCTGAACCAAGCCCTAACCTGCAGAGCTGTGGGAGTAATCACAATGGTAATCAATAAGAGCCAGGCAGCCTTTAAAACTCCGACTTCGCTGTGCCGAAAACAGATACTTAAATGTGAGAGTCAGCTGGGAGCTGGATTATGGTTTGGGGCATTACTGTCATTACATTGTTATTATTAACACCTTGTAATTAGGCCTGTGGAATCCGGTTCTTTTAAGCAGGATTTAACAGTAATGACGGAAAATTGCTACCTTCCTGAAGTGTATGGCGCCCGCTGCGATTAGCCCCAGTGTCTGCTCCGGCAGTGGAGACAGAGGTGTCTCTCTTCCTGTTTGAAGCTCATACCAGCAGGGTTCCAAAGCCTTAGGAAACATCAGGTGGAGCACAACTGTGTCTTCCTAATAACTGCCTAAAACTAACCCACCGAGGGGCACAGGGGATCCAAAGAGTTATCAGATGTTAGAGGCACAATGTTTAATGCAAGTGCAGTGTTCTAAGCCAAGCCCAGACGTGCCCAGAGGAGGAAGCTGAATTGACGTGCTCACACTGCACCATGTGTCACTGCACTGTGCTCCCAGTTTGCTTCTATGTTCTCAAGTCCGTCTACTTCATGTCCACATGTACAAAGGCCACCTGTGAGGAGGCTAGTTTTCCATCCCGAGCTCTGTAATCAGCCCTCGGAGAGAATGTGTGCTGTCTGTAATCAGCAGGATTAGTGGTGTAGGGTCTCGACTCCCTTGAACTCATCCTCAGTGCTCTCCTGGTTGCGCAAAGTGCTCACACATGAAGATCTCGCTCCTCTGGGCCGGTCAAACGGCGGACTCGCACTCAGGCTGCCGTTGCAACAAGAAATCTTCCATTCTGTTTTCATCTGAAGATGTGAAAGTCAAACGGGCGCACACGGGGAGTATGGTTTGAGTCCTGTACGGCAGGGGGCTGATTATCTGTGGAAACCAGCTTCACCTGGTGCTGCCCCTTGAATCCCTGCTCCACGTGTCCTACCCACAGCTGAGCTTCAATCACAGCCAACCCACACACACACACATCCCGCTGCCCTTCTCTCTGCTTTCTGCTCCCTAACTACAGGTCTGGAGGCCTGCCTGTCAGGGGGATTTTAGAGTGTTTGTCTAATCACCTAAAAGCACATTTCATTAGGCAGAAAGTGGTCCAGTGATCAGCTGATAACTTTACAACAACTAACTGTGCTAAAATGTCAGCGAACGCAGCACGGCCACACCCACTACGGGCAAATAGGTCAAATAATTCAGGGAGGCAAATATGGAGGGTCAGAAAGTGGACGTGGTAGTATGAGGAATGTTGCCAACTTTCAGTTTTTATGAGACAGAAAGTGATGTCCTGAGTAGAAGCAGCAGGCACAGCTTTCTGAGGCAAGCAGGAATGGAAACAAAACTGTTTTATTATAACCAAGGGGAAGATGCCGCAGAGCCAGGGCAGAGCCGGCGAGCCAATGAGGAATGAATGTCGAAAGGAAAGAAAACTTGACCTACAAGACGTGGAAAAGCTAAAAACAACCTGAGCTCCGATCACACAGTCTCACAAGAACATGTAGAACAGAGATTTCAGTCAACAAAATGACTGTATTAACAAGTATCAAAGTGGCGTGAAACTTATCTATCAATCTCTAACCCTTCCCCGTATCATCAAAGTGATCTATCTCTTTTTTCAAAACTGAAAAGTCATTGGATTACTATAGTCAGGATCAGACTTCTTGTGCTACTCTCCTCCTCCGTACAGTATTTCAAGTGCTTTTGAACATGTAACAGCAAAGCAACATCACATGCTGATTTTTCAAAAGGAAATTGTACGCACATAACAATTTAAGAGCCTTTAGAACGGAGCGATTCTACGCTTCTTTAAGCCTCTAACACATGCTTTGAGTTTTTTAACGATGTGAAAGCTGGAAAAAAAGGAAGACAGCAAAGAGAAAGTGTGTTGTTTTTACATTCTGATATATATATCATACACATATAATGTAGAGAGTGAAAAAGTAGCTTGTATTTTGTTGGTTAAAAATAAACCGTCCACATATTGGTGATGATCAAACAAAGACAGACCTAAATACAGGGCAGCTGGATGACATCAGATGACCCTGTACATGGCCCAGCCACAGACTTTATACAGTTTTACAGAGGTCTGAATCAACCTTAGCTACCACACCGCTTCCAGGACACGCAACATCATTATCAAAGGCCTAAAGATGAAAAACACCCCGAATACTGCCACACACAGCCCACAGGCCGATTCATCATGGACTATTAAAACCAAATCGATATTTCATCAGAGGACATTTCAAAATAAACAACTCAGGAAAAAACAAAGGGAGGCCCAATCTTCACTAACTTCAATCCAGCTCTTTAATGTTGCTTTAAGTATGGGGTTGCATGTATTACAGCTGAAAATAAAAAGAGCTCTAACTCTATATTTGGATTATGTTTAGGTTGTTCTTTGGCCAGAATCCATTTAGATAAGTTGCATGCTCTAAGTCTGACGCCCACCCCACCCAAAACAGTTTATTCACTAAAAGCGTGGGGTTGCTGGAGAAAAAAAACACACACTCAGTATTGTGCTGCCGCTCGAGAGAAAACACAACTACTCTGGTACATGTTCAAACCCGACATATCTCCATGATGTTGCTACCAAATTCTATTAATTTATGCAATCAGAATTTAATATCATGACATCAATTCTAATGCAGACTTTTTCAGATTACCACCATGAAATCAACTAATCAGAATTTTTATTATTCTAAAAAACCAGCATTGTAACAACCAGATAACAATCCAAAAGCATGACTTTCTTTTAGTTTACTATTCGTCTTACTTTGTCCGTCAAGCACTACAGCAAAAGGTGGATTCTGATGAAGAACAACCGCTGGGAACATTAGCTTTTATCTATGTGACATGGTGCCGCAGTGCTCCATTAAAGTAATTTCCTCACTTTTGTTCATCTGAGTGACTGTGCATTTAGAGGAAAAATATAAAAAAAATAGCTGGAAAAAGATCCCAGCTCCAGATTAGTGGAAAATGAGATGTAGCCTGTGTAGAGGAGTACAACTGAGAGGAGGAGGCTTTAAAGTGCTTCTTGACCACATTTGATCAGCTCGGGTCTCCAAAACCCAGATGCTGAGCTGCTGATGGTGAATTCCAAAACGGGTGTTGTAGGTAATATCGTCAGCTTTGGAGTCTCCCTGTTCACAGGGAGCAGCCAGGCCTCTGTCTCTGACACATTTCAAGCTGTCCAACAGCTTTGCTGGATGATCCTTTTGCTTTCCTTTTAAATTTGTATTATCTTACTTAAGAATTCATACTGCATGAATATAGTCGACTATTGTGATTAAAAGCTATTGTAGCATAAAATCAAATACCTTTCCAAAAATATCAGGCATGACAGAAGTGTCATGCCTGAACTGTCGAACTATGGAAGTTCGACAGATGACGAAACGTTGAGAAACAACAGTCATACGTCGTCGGCTCTCCTCGTGCTGTCAAATCAAACCAAAGCAGGCAGGCTTTGTTCATTTGGTTTTCTGCATTACACATTTTCAGACTTTGGTTACCTAATTTTTTTAACATGATGCAGACATCAGGTCTGAAATGAGCAGGCACTTATCCGTTAGTTTCTCAGTTAGACATTCAATGGGCTGAATTTAATCTAGTTAACCCAGACCGCAAATGCTTTTCAACAACTGAGGGACACACAGTTCAATTTGTTTATGGCATTCCATAAACAACGGCAACTCCAAGTGCTTTATAAAGGCGTTAAAATGAAATCAATCAATTAAAAATAAAAAACTATTTCCAATTGTAATTGGATAGGAAAGGCATTAAAGGAACGAAACAGTGCAGTAAATTCAACAGAGGAAATAATTCCACCTCCACAAATGACAGGCTGGTCAGTTATTTTATTAGAAGAAAAGGTTTCAACACAACTGTGTTACAATCCAGATCAGATACAATCCAAATCCAAGTCAGATCAGCAGCGGAGGCCTCAGAAAAACAAATTCACATCGACTCCAATCACACACCGAGTGTGAGAGAAGAAAGCTGCAACGGTGGTTTTCTTACTAGTTTGAACACGTTCTCTCTTTTCTCTTGTAGAAGCCACCAAAGCTTAAAGAGGCTCATTAGTGTGGCCCCTCAGCTGCTGGCACATGTCAGCACACGCTCCCCACGGACTCAATTACAGCTAATGAAATTCTGCGACAGCGCTTGTTTTCAAGCACTTGAACTCGGCATGACAGTGAATATAATTAAATGGTCTTAAAGACAATATTACAAGTCTTGTGCGCACTTTACCTTGTGTGTTCTCTTCCAACGCTACACACAGCCCTCTGCAGCTCAGGCACAAAGTGGGTCACTTTTTTGGGGGGCTCCTGTGGGTTTTCTTCTGGCAGCTTGGAGGACTTCCGAGATCGTGGCTTTATCTCCAAACTCTTATATTAAGAACACACTGTGATATCAATGTGACTTTCCCGCTCCTAACATGCTCCCAGCATGTTCTGATGCCAAATATCACCAAAATGAAAATAATGGGGTTGCTGTCCTTTTTTCATTGGTTTGAAGAAGATATGTTGTTCCTTTTTTCTTTAAGCATTCATCTGCAAATGAAACCTTTTAAGTTTGAAATCTTTAGACCATCAGAAATCAGACAGACTTACATCAATATACCATCCTTTTGCTATACTTACATTTGTTTAAAGTTGTCCAGACGTGTTCTTTAAAAAAAAAAAAAAGATAGATAGATAGATAGATCTTGATAGATCTTTGTTTAACTCTTTCTTGTTTGGATTCTTCTTTCTAATGTTTTGAAAAAAAAAATCAGTCAGTGTCACATCCTGTTTCTGAACTCTGCCCCATTTCAGTCAGGATGTGGCACGGGAGGTGTTAGAGCACAGTGACTCACGTACCATGTCTATGCCAGCAAGTAAGCAGAAACACACACTGACCCCCCTGTAAACGCTTTGACTGGACAAAAACTCTGAAGCACTTTTGCTAAACACATGATTACTGCAGCACTTTTTAAGCTTATTTCGCAGGAACAGCGGACTTGTTTTTTTTGGTCTCTTCTTCAACAGCTTACTTTCTCATCTCCCTGACGGCTTCAGCACCACCAATCTGGGTCCTTTTACGATGTAAATGAGGCTGCAAACCGCTGATCAACGGGCCTGGTGGTGTGTCCTGGAGGTACAGCTGCCAGTCTGCCGGTCTCCATTCAAACCGCACGGGCCCGCGGCCTGTCGAGCTACTAATCACTCCGAGTCATTTATCCTGAGTGCTGCAGCAGCGCTCTCAATGAACTCCCTGTCTGCTGGTTCTGAACCACCAGCTATATGTGCTGCAGAGTACAGGGGGGGGCGGATTCTACAAGAGTCGAAATAAATCTGTTTTAAAAAGTCGGATAATTGCAGTCAGTGTCCATGTAGTGTTTCTGTTGTTCAAATAACTCAGATCATTTGCTTCATCAGGAGGACAAGCTTCAAACACATTCAACGACAGCGCTAAAGTCTTAAGGAGAGAAAAAGAAAATTGCATCTGTCTCCATAAGTTATAACTTATAAGACCTGTGCCGTATTTTTCATCACATAGTGCTGCAGAGGAAACACTATTGCGATGTGTCACTAAGAAGTGAGAGTGATAAAGCTGCCATGTCGTGTTCTGAGTAGGGAAGGGTAAAACAACTGGCCTCTGAACACAGGCAATGAGGGTCATCAATCACAGCATTCACAAACTGTAGAGCCATTCAAATCAAATTGTCCGACTCCATGGTTTAACAGCAATTATTACAGAGTTGAAATAATCACAGCCACATGCTGCTTTCACCCGGTTAACACAAATCTTGTAACAAAAGAATGAACTTTACAGTTCTTTTCTGGACGTTTAGGAAGTCAAGGCACAGCAAAGACATTTGTTTATGCATAAAATACAGTTTGCTGATAACTATCAGCACTGAGAACATTTAGAAGAATTCTGATAACATCATAAAATTGTGGCATGTTGTATGACTTTGAACTGAACTCAGAAATAGTGGAGAGAGCGCCCCCTGGTGGACACAGATCAGGTGGTCAACCGGCTGCTTAGTGAAACAGTTTAAATGTAAGACAAAGCTCCCTTTTTTTCCAAGGAAGTTGTTTGCTTTTCTGTAACAGAGTAAAAAGTGTGAAGATAATGGGGGGGGGGGGGTTATAACTGAATGGGACAAACTGCTTGAAGGTTTTGCAGCTCCATTTATTTTGCCGTCTAAATCTACATTGAGCAGTGAAATGCTTTGTAGATCACACTCCTACCACTATAAACCTTAACAACCAACTCCTTTGAACTTTCAATATAACATCAAATGTACTTTAAGCATCACGGAATAAACCAGAGTGCAACCATTTGAACATGGAGTCTTTCAATAAAAATAACCTCTGTTGAAGATAACCAAAAAATAAATAAATGAAAACATTTCCATTGGGAAAAACCTTTCTGCAATAAGAACATCTGACATGTAACTTGCTGTAACCATGGTTCTAACACTCCATCCTACATGTGCTGAGATATCCACCTTTAACTCTGATGAGGAACTGCACTTATTCTGAGCTCTGATGAGTGGCCTGCTATAGTCATTCTGAACCGCTCAGACTCGGCTGTCCTGACGGAGAGCAGCCAGCCTCTGTCTGATTAGCCGGTTCTCCTCCAGCATCTTGGAGATGGTCCTGACAACTGAAAGCTGGGCCTATCCAGGGCGGGGGACACGTTCCCAAGAAAAGAAAGAGGAGGTAAAGAAAGGGATGTGTAACCATGTCCACTGGTAGACAGATTGCAAAAAGCATTCATGTCTGCGACAGGCGTTTCTGCATTTATTAATTCATTCAAATATTAACACACATCGTTATTTGATCTTTCAAAGTAGTAAACGAACAGATTATGTCCCAGGTGATAATGCCCAGTATATTATGAATAAGCCATGTGACTTCTCACAGGGATTTGATGAATTATTCTCCATGTAAAATCTTCTGGCATAGGTTTTGATTCCTTAATAGGAGATTGTTAACACAAACAATGTACACTTTGCGTAGAGCCCACTGTACCTTTTCTTTTGGGGTAGTTGTTTCAGATCTTTGGGAGAAAGAGAAAACATCCCCATTAACGAGGGTAGAGACAGGATCAGCACCTGAAAACAGCAACATGAGCACATTTCAGTCAACAATGTTAACTGCTTTTGTTGGTAGCACTGTGGGCAGATGACATGGAAAATTAACTAATCCAGTAATCAAAATTACGTCAAAAATAAATATATAAAGCAATAATTTTATAAGAGATATTTAAATAACTTAAATTTGTGGCTGTGTAACATGTAAGTTTTCTTCAGTTGATTTAAAAAATGCTAAGCTAATATCCAAACATCTAAGCTAGCCATTTAACAACAGCTAATAAACTAGCTAGTTTTATTAGCTCTGAAAGGCTACATTACACTGTGTTCTTCTTTCTTGGTTCCCTGTAGTTTTGGGTTTACTTGTCGAAGGCCTCAGCACATATTTTGCCGGAGTTGTACCGTCTTTGGTCACTTTCAACAGTGGAGTGCTGGTGAATTTAGGTAATTTTATTTTCAAGACAGACCGAATATTTCTCTCAGACCCATTTTTGGACCGCTTCTTCAAGCGGTTTTCATTTTGGGACACGGGGCTGGGTTCCACCAGCTCCAGTTCCGGTTCTGTTCTTTGACTGGAACCCAGCTGGGACCCAAACCTGGGCACATAGACGGTCTTAACAGGCGGCATCTTTCTCTTCTCTTGGCAAACTGGGAGGAGGAAACTCTTCAATTCGCCCCGTCAGCCAACAGGTGGCGCTGTTGTCCTCATAGTCTGGCTCCTGTAATAAGGTCAGTGTGTATTGATAGAATTACACGAATTTGCATCCTGACAAACCAACTTTTTATTTATGAAGTTAGAACCATTATGCTGCATCAAAATAATTGAATGGTTTAGATACTGTTTGTGCTGAACATTATTTGGAATTAAATTAGTTTCTCAGTGTGTAGACTAAACACAACTATGTAGGATGGAAAGGCAAAAAGTAACACATTCTAAATAGACTAAATCTGTAGATAATCAAATACAAATACTTGTCAAATGTATTCCGTTAAAAGTCCCATTGGTAGGCTCAGGTGTGCCTGAAAAGCAGTGTTGAGACATGTTTATGAATTTCTGTTGGTTCTCCTCTATGGGGTCATTCAAACTCCACAAGGTATACAGTTATTTTTGCAGCATTTGCATCTTTATGGCCCCAATTAGCTTCCAGTTTATAGTAAAAGGAGCTACTAGGCACTTGTACTCTTGGCTTGATTTTCACTGACATGCACCATCAGGGCTTTATAAGAACAATATATTAGTTTTCAGTCATGAGGAATCAGAGGCTTTTATAAAAAGGGAATAGTTCCCTCCCAGTGCCTTTACCTGATTTTATAGTCATGTATATACACCAAAGAGGGAAATAAAGTAACTGACTCCTGCATCCGAGTTATGGCTGATTCACCAAAAGTTAGCAGTGCGACATAAAGCAGGTATTCTTCCTCACAGCTGTTTAATTCGTTCAACATCTCACATTACAAATACTTCAAATGTATGCATATAGTTACAAACCATTGGCAGCAAATGAATATATGACATTAGATTTTTGTTTTACTTCAGTACTACAAACCAACTATAAAAACTGACGCTCTGTATTGTAGCGTAAATTAATCAGGAAGAAAATATAAAAAAATGGAACTTACAAATAAATGTGAAATGACTTAGTAAAAATCAAAACAATATCAGGTTAAAAAAAAGAAAAAAGGAGCTAATAAATATAACCTTCCCAGCACTCAATGAAAAACTACTGAAATCTTGTAATCAAGTAATACTAGCAGACATAATCAATATTCTTTTGTCGTGAAAATGTGGAGCACATTACAGCAATTAGAAAAACTAGACACGTCAACGAGTTTAACACATCACCCCGAAAGATAACAAAAATTCTGATCAAAATGATAGTTGTACATTTCAATTGAAAATATAGCAAAATGCTAAATACATTATAGACCTACTATATACAATGTTTTCAATCACAGTAGCATGGTTGTAGCAAAATAAGTAAATAAGCACAAAACCAATGTGAAAAATAAATTCAGGTATAAATTACTTTTTTTTCTTCTTTTTCTTTTGCACACTTCTGCATGAACAATAGGAAACAAAAAGGTGTGTTAAAGACTGCATGATTTATATGGATTAATTGACTTACACTGCAGAGAACTGTTTCTGGAAAGAAAAAAAAGTATTGCACATAATGGCTCAAGGATAACTTGCAACATTAAATCACATTCAGGTTATGTCCTGAAGCATGCCACATCACAAAGGAGGGGAGGGGGAAGGGGTCAAGTGATCAAGTCTCCTCATCTATGTTCCTACTGAGTGTCCTCTACATTTAGAAAGAAGAAAGAAAAAAAACATCCAAAAGTGTTGTCATGGTGTATATTGCATAAACATCATGTCTGTGTAAGGAAGGCAGACTCCATCATGTAAAGAGAGGCTACAAGAGAGGCGATCTCAAAAAAAGAAAGTTGTTTTTAAAAGAAAAAGGAGATCTAGTGCATTACATTAGGTCCTGCATTATCACTAGCTCTGTTATCTCTTATGCATGCCAAGAATAAGTAGAACTTACAGGCAGTCCAAGAAAGAGGATCTAAATATTCAAACAGCTGATATCCACTCCAGTGGTAGAAGGGAAGATTTCACATTGAGCAAAGCCAAAACATTTATCTTAATCATAATCTTAATGACTACACTTAGGAGCAAAATATCAGATTATATTCTCAAGACTATCAAAATCAGTTTAGAAAGGTCTTGCCATGCCTTAGGATCCTGTAATTATGTTTATTAGGAGATAGGAGAACCTCTATATGAAGGCTAGTGAAAGCCTGTTTTTTGTTTAGTCCTTTTTTTTAATCTACAGAATCACACCAATGCACCAGACAATTTTCAGTTTTACTAGCACTTAAATATATAAAAGCTAATTGAAAATTATATTAATATTCTTTTTTTTTTTAAATTAAGTTACCATAAATGCAGATCTCTTAGTAACAAAGGTACAAAATTATTTTTCACCAAGTGAAAAAAATGAGGTATTGCAAAAGGAGTTCTCCCATTTGTGAAAAATGTGCCTAAAATGACTATTGAAAAAAATATTTAGAAAAAGTAGTGCATAATAAATGTATATATGTTCATGACAAAATAATCAGCTATAAAACACTGTACAAAAATCAGCAGGCCATGTATAAAATAATATCTTTATCTCTGTGACAGCAAATTCTAGCTACTACCATATCCAACCACAACACTTGTGATAGAAGCGCCATTCACAGTAGAGCGTGCAGTGGTACAACATGAGGACAGCTCAGGGAGACTGGACTGTGCATTCCCATTAGTTAGTACTACATTAGCATGTTAGCTTCCAGTGCTAATATCCCTGACGATATAAAGTGAATAAATACTACTGCCAATACCTGAGCCCTGAAGGCTTTGTCTTTTTCAGATGAAACCAACAAACCAAACTCCACACTTTCCTCTGTTGTATGACAAGAAGACCTTATCCTGAAACCCCTGTTTCTGATCATATGTTTAGGCCAATCTTTGGTTTGCCCTCTCTTCTTACAAAGTGTTGACACCATACCAAGACCTAAAGAATCATGCTGACATTCGAAACATGTGTGCCGAAATGAGCGGGGGGGGATTTAGTTTTTGTGACGTGGCCAGATGCAATACACCGAGCTGCTCAAACTCAATCCATCCAAAACGAAGTTCCAACCATTTGTGTTTAACCTTTGGTAAATGGTATAGCTGTTCTCTAATCCTGTGAGAATGCACCCCTCTTTAACTCAGCTTCCGTAGTTGGTATACTGATTTAGGTATGATGAACCTCACTTGAATTCTATGTTACTTTCATAAACAAATGTAAGCAGCTTTGCCAACTAATACGAAAAAAAGAAAGAAAAAAAAGGTACAGTCAAGTAAAAAAAACAAAACGAAGTGAAACAATAAAAACAATAAAAATAAAACATCCAAGTCCAAACCTAATGCATCCATATGCTCATGCACAATTAAAGTCAAAACATAAATGGGATTTCACTCTTCTTAGCATTTACTTCTTTTAGAAGGCCCAATTTAAAAAAATAAAAATAAAAAATAAATTATCTTTTTTTTTTTTAACTAAAAAGAAAAGTGCATTTATTTTCATATCACAGACCATACTCCCTCCCGAATTTCTACCGGTCCCTCCTCCCCTCGATTCTGCACCAGCTCGGTCTCGACTCAGTTCCAGCGGAAGGAGATGTGTCGTGGTCGGTCCCCTCCCTCCTTCACCAGCGGCTTGTGAAACTCGCGCCCGGCCCGAGAGTGGATGGCTGCCCAGCAGTACTCACAGTAGTACTGCAGACAGGTCACGTTGGCGCAGAAAAAGGGAGCAAACTTCCCCCCACAGCGGGTGCCCTGGCACTCATCACACAGCTGGTCATCCAGGACATATGGCTTCACTTCCACCTGAGAAGACAGAGGAGAAGGGTGATGATAAGAAGAAATGAAGTCGATATGCACCATGGATTCATTATGACATGAATAGTTTGTTTAACACACCCGTTTATCAATCTCCCCATGTTGCAGCTGAACAAATCGGGCACTGATGGCTGCAATGTAGCTCTGCTGATTGGAGAAGGCCACTCTCCCTGCGCCTTTTGGGTACTTCAGTTCAGGGTCTGTGTCAATCCCAGCGTAGCACACTCCCCCATACAGACGGTCCATGATCATGGCCAGCTCAACTGAAATGGTAACACACAATCAAAATCCATTTCTTCTCTACAGTTTAAAATAGAATTAGTTATAGGGATCCTCCTCACTGTACCTGCACGTAAGGGACGAGGGACACCTCCAACAAAGATAGTCTTTCTTGGGTCCAATGGCTGTGAGCCATCCATTACAAAGTCACTGTCATTAAGGTTCCAGGGCCTGATCTGGACCTACAAACAAAAAAGTTTTAAAAATCTGATACAATTGCATTATGTATTAACCTATATCAGAAACCTTAAAAACTCACAGGCTTGTCTTTAATGGTGGGGCTGGAGACACACAGGTACAGCTTGCCATCCTCCTGAATGCAGGCATCAATCAGAGCCTGGACAGAGCTCTCATCTTGGAACAGCAGGAATGCATATCCTAGAAACATACCACAGCGAAAAGAATGAGTGGGTCCAAAAATCAGAGTGACATGCTGTCACAGGAAAAAAATATTAGGCTGATTCAGCTCACCTTTCGGCGGAAAATAAGACTTGCTCTCTGCCTTATGGGGCCAGTCAACAAATAAATGGCCGAATCGACGGAAACTGGCAGTGATTTCATCTGAAAGATGGAATACAGTTTCCGTCGATTAAAGTGTCACATTTAAACATCAAAATATTAGCTCCACTCAAAGTTTAAAGAATGTTATAGATATGGAATGGGAGATTGTGCTAGTTTTCTTTACCTTCATCTATATCTGGGGGCAGACCACCAACAAACACCTTGCGAGAGTAACGCTCCACACGTTCCCCATTGAGGTGAGGAAAACAGTGGGCCGAACCAAGGCCAGCAAGGCCCTGGTCACCTGACTCGTCCTCTCCAAAAGAGCGCTCATCTTCCATGGGGAACAGAGAAGAGTGGCCTGAAGGCAGAAATTCCATCATTAGAAAAAAAAAAAATTACCTCTGTAGCAAGAAGCAGGGAAACAAGAAATGGGGGGTTTGAATGCAAATTGAATAAATGTCAGGAAACACAAGCAGCAGCCATTTTTGATGACAAGGTGAAAGATTACAGCTGCGACTAGTTTGAGGTAGAAAACCTGTAGAAGGTTCAATGTTCGGAGCATAAAGGCTCTGAAGTTCATTTAAACAATCATTGGCACTGAGAAAAATCAAGCAGAAAGACAGAGGGGCAACACAAAGTGGTCACACTAGAGGTCATCTAGACACATTCAGATTTACCTCGTCTTCTGCCATAACTTCTCGCTGCATGTAAAAACACAAAATACTCTTGAAATGGATTTTTTTTTAAAGAGTTACACAAAACATTTTTAAAATCACATGAAAACATTGCTAGGGCTTAAATGAGTGGACTGGTTCACCAGCTAAAATATCTGCAAAGAACTAGCATACGTGATATTCCACCATACAAAATTTGACAATAAGTTCTCTGTGGATATCAGTTTGAAATAAAAACAATTTTTTTTTTAAAAAAAGGATCACTTAAAGATTGCTTTAGACTGTGTGTGCGGTGCTCTTTATTTGTATTTTGCTGCCACTGAACCTGTCTGACAGCAGCACCGTCCCTCTAAAGAGCAGCCATTTTAGCTCCTGCCTGACTACTGCAGTCTATTATCACTCCAAACCATTTTCCCCAGTCAATATGTCGTCAGGCTTTACTACTTTTGAGGTTTAAGTGATTATGGAACATCCAATCTTTAATATGTTCAGTTATAGGAGTGAAAAAAGAATGTAATAAATACAAATGGATGTGTTTAACCAACTCTTATAATGATTTATTTGAATTTGGAAGACTGGACTGCAGCCGTAGGACTGCATATTGTTCAACATACCATTCATAGGTAAAGGCCCATCTCCACCCTGGTGAGAGAAGCTGTAGCGTCCTAAATGACAAAAACAGTGGAGGCCTCAGAACATGATCACCAGGGCCTTGTAGTTATAAAATCTGTGGTTTTGCTGAAACAGTGATTAATTCCATAGAAATACACTATCAAGCAGACGTAGAGCAGACTTTGAGCTCTAGAAGGCTGCCGAGGGAAACTTTATTGTAGCAAACAACAAACAATTCAGCTTCTTAGTCTATTTCACTGTACTGTTAGACTTTGTCGTCATACTGTCATATGATCCAAGTCCTTCTTACACAAGAATATCACTGCAATAAATCAGAATGCTTCCAGTGGTGCAAACAACAACCAACCACCAGTATTTAACTAGATTAACAAGGACGAATTCTATGAAAGTAAAAATACATTCGTAATAAAGCATTGTGATAGAGCCAAGCTAAACTATTGACCATTGTTTGCAACAACCTTACAGATTTCTTAGCCATGAGAGATAACATCCTCCCCGTACCACTTTTAATGTGTGAACCAACCTTTTAAGGAGTCCTGCTCAGCCCTCATAATGTCAATCAGAGAGTTCTCTATGGATTGCATACTGAAACCGTCAAAAGGCCGCGTTCTCTCCTGCTGAAAGAGGAAAACAACCATCAGCTTCACAGTTTCTCACCTCAAAACTTTAAGCTGCTCAGAATACATAAGAAATGTCACAAATTGCCTTATAATGCAAACAAATTTCAAAGAAAACTAGATTTACATATTGGAAAAACAGCTGGAAAATCATTTCCGCCATGTAAAAGAATCAACATCTTTACTCACTGCCTATTGGTGTCAGAAATATAAACATGTTAAATAAGAAGCAGGTTAGCATAAATCATTTGATTTAAATGCTAAAAGTGAGATAAAGCAGGTAATGCTGCAAAAGCAAGTAAATAAAAGGGATAAGAACATGCAATTCTGCAGGAGTGCAAAACCTCTCAAATCAGGACAAGAGGAAGGACATGTGATTAAACAAGATGATAAGACTGCTCTCATTTAACCAAATGATCTAGATAAGATACAAGTGTCTACACACAATACATTCCAATTCATGCATTTAAAAGTCTGAAAAATCATGTATCCTGTTGTGCTAAAGGCTTATTTGTTACATTCGACACAGTTGAGTGTGTTAAACAGCTAAAACATTCTTTGCGCCAAGAAATTACACAACAAAATGTTCTTGTTTCTTCAACTCTGTTGCCGTTTTCACAAGAATTACCACAAAGGTTAATTTAGTCCATCTAGACTCGATAAAAAAGGGCCTTAACATTAATACAAGCATGTATGCCCACCTGAAATGGATACACATTGTCACTGCGACACATGCTGTCCTCCACCCAGCCCTTGTGATTGATACCGGAGGTATTTCTGGGGAACTTCTGTGAGGAAACCTGTGAAATAGAATGACAGGTTTAATACAAGTGTGACACTTTTAAAACCGTGCAGAATTGTGTTTAGTAATAGCAATCATCTACCTGGTTGTTGGGGAAGGACTTCTTCAGTGGGGAGTTGAGACCGGTCATTCCACCACCGACGCCCCGTCGATACTCGCGGACCCCTTGTGTGCCTCCCCAGCCACCATAACCACCTGGGCTCCAAGAAGTGGAAGTGGGAGTGGAGGGGCTCTGGTAGCTTCCCCAAGGTGAGGGGGGTTTGTTCTGAGCAGGAGCTAGATGGGGCATCTGGGGAAAAGGTCCACTGCGATGAGGATGTGGAGGGAAAGAGGGCTGAGGTTGATGAGGGCTAGCTGGCGAGCGTCTGTGTTGCTGTGAAACCCCTTGACCGTGAGGGTGGTAGTGCTGGGGATGAGGTGTGGGAGGGTGGTGCTGGGACACGGGTCCAATCTGTGGTGAGAAACTTCCACCTACTCCAAAGCCGGGGCCAGCGTGATGAGAGAAGTTTTGGAACAGTAAAGTAGGACCGTTGGCATTGGAGCCGGCAGGTCCAAAGAAGCCTCCAACATCTTCCCCAACCACTGTAGACTGGGTGGAAGGGACAGCAGGGGACCAGTTATTGAAGCTGGTCAATGAGGATGAGGAGGAGGAAGACTGTGCACAGCTTGTACCCATTCCCAGGCTGTCCTGGTAATCAAAGCCGCTTAGCACGGGGGACTCCATTCTCAGCTTCTCCTTTCCGCTGTTGCTCTCCAAAGAACCTTTCTCCAAAGACCCATCTTCAGGGAGAGCTCCTTCAATATCTGCTAAGCCTCCTCCAGACTCCTGCTGGCCTGGAGACAGAGCCTGAGGCTGTCCCTGGACCTGAGACTTCTCCTGCATGTCCTGGAGGTCCAAGGCCTTGGACTTGTCTGACTCCAGAATCTCATCTTGCATGTTACTGTGCTGTGCTACAGAAGGGAACAGCCAAGCACTGCCCCCATTGGTGGAGCAGGTGTTGTTTATGAAGGAGGGGGGGCTGGGGGGGTTCGCAGGGTGATGAGGGTGCTGGGGTTGAAGGTGAGGGGGAATCCTTACAGGGAAAGCAGATTTGTTGCCACTGCCGTTCTTCACCAGAACTCCAAAGCCGTAGTCCCCCATTTAGGACACCCAGAAATTTTAAAGTTTACTTTTGGCTTTCACCGTCTTCTTTTACCTAAAATGTGTGTGGAACATAAGCAGATTAAAAAAAAAAAAAGAGTCAAAAGGCTCAAAGCTTTAAAATGTCATGTTCATCTGATCACTTAAAAGAACACACAAACAGAAGCCTTGCCAAACGCAGTGAATATGCCTGGGCTGCACCCTGCCTGGTCTTGTGATGCAATCAGTGAGATTAAATCATTGACTGGCTTGGCCATGAGAGGCTGAAATGAAATATAACACGACAGCAGGCAAACAACCATGGAAAACACCCAGGCTAACTAGAGCAGGCAGCTAACAACCTGAGCTGGTGAGGCTGACGTCTCCAAAGGTCGTTACGCCGCTAGCAGTAAGCTAACAGCTGCTCCGCCACCGACCAAGCGCACTATTAAATCGCACAGAGTCAGACAGCCGGGTTTTAAGCACGTTCCGGCATTATAGGGCGAACGTGAGCTCTCGCGCGCTGAGGGTTTTACACTTACCGACTAATTTCGCTTTTCTTGCAATGACCTCCTCATACGCAACCATTTAAGCACAGGGAAATGTCGATGACGTCTCCTGTCTGTTCTGAATCTTGGGCAGTTCCCTTCACCAAGCCGCTAGGCTAGCGTAACAGCCGATAACCGCAGACGTTTAGCATATATTTGCAAACTAGCTAGACGGTAAGAAGCAGACTTTGCCTCCTTCTACGTATGGCTAGCATACACGACACTATTACCAGAGGCTTATATTTTCCACAGGAACTTGGAAATGGTGTACGGCTCCTTAAACGACCTCTTCTGTTTCGCGTCCTGTATGTTCAATGTCACACAGCCAACGAATCCTTGTCATCATTTTAACATCTCAAAACGATAAAACGCAGTCTCAGCCGCCCCTCTAGCACGACGACAAGCACATATGTTTGATCTAATGTCGGGCATAGGTACCTTCAGTTCAGCGTCATGACCTTATCTTGTAGTTGTTGCCATATTTTAGCGTTTTCCCTTTTTCAGCATTTCCTAAGCAGCCGGTGTAAATGGTCTCCTCTCTCCTCTAGATGACAGCTGAGCCAGTTGGGAGACACTTCCGTCTCTAAGCCCCGCCTCCCCCATCATGCACCAGCCACTGTGTGGAAGGATTTCCCCAAAGGACCTCGCCCACTCCAGCCAGAATCTCCTCTATGATTGGATAATTGCAAGGACGGCACGCCTATAGCTCGCCTTTTCAATGAATGGCAGATGCCTCTCCTTCCAAAAAAGGACGATAATGAAATCACTGGGAGTTGTAGGGAAAATATATGTTCTGTGGTTTAATTGAGCTTGGCAAATGTTTTCTCTGAAATGTTTTCACTTCCTCTCTAGATAGATAGATAGATAGATAGATAGATAGATAGATAGATAGATAGATATTAAAGTAAGTGGGCCGTCCGTCTGGATTTTCCTACAGCAGAGGACTGGATAGCAATCTCATTAAAATAAGCTGCTGCTATTTTCAGAGCATAATCAAGCTTTAGAGCACATTAATTTTCCTTTGGTCAGATCTGTTCCATGCTCTCTTCATGCCAACATCATGTATTCATCTATGTTAATGGGGCATAGATGTCCTCTTTATAGAGCATTCTAATGGCCCTTGTTTACGTTGCATCTGGGGGTTTTCTGTGAGAAAATCAGACGATGAATGGCAGTCATCTACTGACACAGAGTATCTAGATAAAAGAAAACTTGCTTCCCAAAAAATTACATTACTCAACTGGAGGTTTAAACCTGGACAAGTAAAAGTGCCCCCAATGAGGCTGTTTTGGCTCTGAAAGGGTTGCTGTAACAAGGAAGTTTGATAATAATCAAAAGAAAAGAAGCTAGTGTCTTTGTGGCTGTTTTTGAAAGACTCAGCAGAAGACCACTTTTGATTACTTGTCTTGAAAACAGTTAACAAATACAAGAACAATAGATGCACTGGTTTCAAGAGCAACCAAGACCACTGAAAGAGGTTGAAAGTTTAATTTAGTCTCTACTCAGTCTTCTTCATGAATAGCATGTTAAGACATTGCCTCGGCTTTCCCGAAGGCAGACCCACCCTTCATTTGTGTCCTTTAGCAATGACACATCCCCTCACCCCACTCTTTGCAGGGCCTGTTTAACAACATATCCGTCAGGTTCTGGTTTCTCCTCAGAGGTAACAGACAGTTGTTACAGGCATTGCCAGTTTCAATGTTCTTCACTGGTATCTAGTAAATACAAAAGCTTTGGAATGGGTGTATTTGTGTGTTTGAAAGTGATTTTCTCCCCCTATGCTGATTTACACCATAAGCCCTTGGAGTTGTGTCAGCTTTTTTTCTTCCCTGAGATTATTCTGTGTCCCACAGTGAAAGTAAGCTGCACTGCAGGAGTTCCAGTCATTTCATGGGTCTATGGGAGTTGAACTGATAATTTAACTCACGGCACATTGAGTATTTTTCTCCGATAGAATAAACTTGGGAGATGTGTCTTTCTCATTTCGAACAGGACAATCAAACATATAACTCAAATGGTTCTTAAATGATTCATCCATGTAACGTAGGCACCCAGTCATTAATTCATTAGGTCACTCCAGAGAACACGGGCAAACATTCAGCGAGTGCCTGTGGCCAGCTGTCTCAGGTTTCTCTGCTCAGACGCACAGCCTATCTTTGCTATTCGGCCCCCTCTCAGATGGTAACCTCCTTATTGATAGAGCCGTGTTGCCATACCAACCACGCGAGTTGGGAGAGTTCTGGTCCAGCAAACTGCCCATTGTTTGGCCCAGAGGTCATCCATCTGAGAAACCAGTTCTGTTGTCACAAGGAGAATGACATTGCATGTTTTCTTGTAGTGCATTGTAGCCTTGCTTTTTATCTCACTGATAAGAGGAGATCATTCAGTTTGGATTTTTTATTTTTTTTATTATGGTGCAGACATGCAAAAAGAGGAATTCTGAATGAAAAGTTGAGGTTCATAAATCCAGCTTCCCTTAGGCCTAACATGATAAACAACCGTGCAGACGCAATGTTTTCATTTTTGCATAATTTTAAAAATTGCTGTCATATCTGTTGTTCCAAGTCAGATTTGTAGGTGTATCTTAAACTCATAAGAAGTACAACACTGAACGGCAAATCCATTATAAAGTCAAATTCTAAACCAAAATCTGGATAATAAAATGTTTAACTGATTTTACTGCACCTGCATTTAACTTCTACCTGTGTCAATTCTCTGACACGTGTCGCCACCCAGCGGCTACTTGGCAGTACTGCATATTTAAAGTTGAATTGCAATGTGACGAACCAAGTAGGGCTCAATCGTACTAACCTGCAAAGGTGGTGATGTTGCAGAAGCTGAGTGATATGCTATGACATTTTACAGGTTAATACCTGTTCTTGATCAGATTGTTAACAAAGTCTTCTAAAATTGAACTGATTACTAAACAAAAATAGAAAAGGGGGTACGATTTGTGTGACAAACCCCCATATATGGTCCACATTAGCAACTCTATGTTTAACTTAGGAATGACTGAGAGCACCAAACCACCAGTTGGAAGGCCACCTTTCAGATTAGGGCTCTGTCTAAATGTTTGGTGAGGCAATGTACACTGTTGGGACAACTCATAAAAACCGAAACCTAAAACCCGCTAGTGCATTACACACAATCCAGAGTTGCTGACGTAACTGTTGGGCCTCTCAAAAGAGAGGATATTTCCAGTCTATGAAACTTTAAACACCGCCTGTATTTCACTGTCAGAAAGCCGGGTATGGTGTCTTTTAACCTGTGCGTTCACCTCAGACGTCAGGGCCTTCTCTGCTTCCCAACTGAGTGAGGGTTTCGCCTCTTTAAAAGGTCTGCTGGCAGTTTCACTGACAAAGTATCTTGGAGGACACAAAATATTTTATGACACAAAATATTTTAATGAGAAGAAGATACATCCAACTTCAGGAGTTTAAAGATATCAACAGGCTCGTATGCCCAGTGTCTTACAAGTGAGTTACAAGCTTCTTAACAATATCCTGTGTTTTGAAGCAGTGAAACTGAGTCTTTGTGCCTAACAGAGGGAAGCAAGTGTAGTAATGGAACACTAAGAACAAAGGAAACATGGTTAGTTTGATCTTCCTCTTAAAACAAAGAAAAGCCATTCAAGCCACTACATTGTTACAAAATGCCACATCACACTTAATGACAGAGAGCTGAACAGATTGTCTCTTTACACACATACAGTACATTCTCAATAGGATTAGCTTATGTCTTGAGCTGGGATATAACAACAATCCCAACTTCCATAACAAAATTTTTCAACAAAAAAAGGTTGCGGTGGGGGGATTGCCTGACATCATCACTTTTGATCGTCTATAAACGGTGCAGCGAAAAAAAATAAAAAAGTTACCTTCCTGTAAGTACATCAAGAAAAACGATAAATACCTCTAACTGAGCGACAACAATCTGAGTGAGTATTATTTGCTTCTTTCAGCCAACTGTCCTCATCGTGACGTGTAAATGTGCTCACACACTGCGTGTCTGCAGCTGAATGATGTGACTTGCAGAAATGATATAGAACCTGTGTTTTTGACCTAAGGGAGGAAGAGAAGAGGAGTCCAAGGAGAAATGATGACAGTGTGAATCATCGCATAACGACACATTACGCCCGTCCCTCTCCCTCTCGCTGGACTCCCTGTGTCCCTGACTCTTGGCTGAATCCCAGAGGAATTCTCTGGTGACCTTGGTAAATGTAACATTTAGAATAACAGCGCCAGAGTGCCCGTGTGTGGACTTAACCCAGTTCCTGGGTCCTTGCTGTGTTGCCTGCGGCTCAGGTGGGAAGAATAACAGGCCTTCGTGTCTGACCTGGGTAAGAGACCGCAAAGGGTACAAGGGCTAACTTAGAGACAGCCAAAGATCTGGAAGGTTTCTGTCAAGCCTCCTTCCTGCCCACTGGGATTCCAGGCAAGGGCAGCACGGCTCTACTGTAGAAAAGGCTCAATCTGGTCCTAAGGAGCCATGTGGGGATGCAGGACTTTGTGCAGTCATCGGTCAGGAAAACCAGGCTGCTCAAATCAAATATAGACTTAGATTAGACTGAGACTACTCTGGTTATGTTCCTCTTTCCCGAGCTGCATCCGTCCAACACGTATAAACAATAATCCAAAGTGCAAAATCTAAGACTTTTGTGGCTCAACACCGTCCTAAACACAGCTCAACATTAAACCTCCCCATGACAAAGTGTCATCCCTCCATTCACATGAATCACAGATAAGCGGTCGCCGAGGAAATGAACAAGTTTAGGCACCTCAATGTTTGCAATCCTTACATTTGAAACTGAACGTCTTGGTTGCGCCACGCTGATAGCTGACAATCAAGTGGAAAACCAACTCAGAGAGAATGCATTACATATAACAGTTCAGTTGTTGTGAACAACGACCATGTCCCCTGAAGTATAACGCCAGATAATGGCCCGCCATGTCACTAAGAAGCAGTTTCTGAAACTCCACTTTGACAATAAAGGTGACTGACGCAACACTTCCTGCATCAAAGTGAGATGCGTGTCAGAATATATCCGGCCCAGCTGAATCTGCTCTGTACGTTCCCATTCACCACTGCCCAGAACAGCAGTGGTGCTGGGGGAACATCAACAATGAGTCTAGACTCTCTCAGTTCTAGCTTTGCAGGAGTAATATCTAAACACACAAGTGTGAAATGACTGCTCATATTCATAGTATGACATTTACAATCTCTTTAGAGTGGACTTTCACTTTAAGAATGCACACGTTTGCTGGCTTTTCAGCCATCATGCACTAAAATTCATATGTGCCTGAACTGGACAAAACCTGTACAATTTGTATTTAATCATCAAGTATCTATTTTCGTAATACACATTCCCACTTTGAAACAGCAAATGGTGTATGTTACATATCTACAGACCTATGGGTGATGGGTGCAATACTGTGGAAAGAACAACAGACAGCACACCATATACTATTTCACCTATAGCATATCAGTATTGCATATTGTAACTATATTTATACATGTTCATATAAATATAGATAAGTATATTTCTATGTACATTTTGATATTTCAACATTGCATTAAGAATAAAATAAATAATACAAATATAATCAAATCTTACAATAAGTATGATTTGAGAAATGCTATATTTGAGCCAAAATAGACTTAACAGTTGAAATAATCATGATATTAACAATTGTTATTCAATAAAAAAAAAAAAAAAAGTGGCCTAAAGTCTGGCATAACAGTACAAGCTACACCGTTAATTACCCTGCAAGTTTACCATGTGGGACTGCTGGAATGACTGGAGAGGCGGAGGAAGAACAGTAAAGGTCGGGGCTTGTTTCCTTCTGCTCAGTCTCTCTGGGAATTCGTGTATGTGTGGAGACATGTGTGTGTGTGTGTGTGTTTACATGTGTGTGTGCACGTGAGCGTGTGGCCGTGTGGAAATGAGCATAAGTCTGCAAATGTGGCTTTTGAAATGTTTGAGGGGGTCAAAAGGTCTCTTGAGCTTTCACCTCCGGATGTCCGTGGCCTTGGGGTCTTCCTGCTCAGCCCCCGCTGCGGCGTCTGGACCGTGGCGGCGGGGACCCTGACTGCGGTGGCGGGGGTGAGAGTTGAAGCCGGCCTTACCCGCTTTCTCCTTGTCGCCCTGTCGCGGAGCACGAGGGTGCTCCAGGTCAACGCCGGCCGGCAAAGGGTGGCGGTGGTGCTCGGAGGCGGAGCTGGCCGGGGACGGGGCGAGGGAGGAGCAGAGGCTCAGGCTGTCGCACAGCGCTCCCCAGTTCTGCTCGCACTGCAGGCGCACGCTCCGCGCCAGCGCCTCCTTCACTTCCTCTCCACAGCTCAAGAGAATGTTCACCAGCTCCACGTACGGACTGGAGAGAGAAAAGGCAAATTGCCGACATGAGTCGGTCACCAGTCATCTCAAAGAAGACGCAACCATGTCAGAAAAATGGACGAGAAGATATAGGATGGCGTAAATAAAACAGAACTTAGGAAGAAATAGGAAAAGAGACCAGGACAAAGCACATATTCCAGTATTGGCTTAAAGCAGTACTTACCCTTTTGGGAAAAGATCTTGGAAATGGATCATCTCCACCATGACGGCAACATTCTCCTTAGCAGCGGAGCACAGGTTATGTCTGATGTAGCACTCTCTTTGAAGCTGGAACACCATCTCCTTGATGGAGACGCACTTTCTGCTGATGCAGCTGAATTTGTGCCGCAGCCCATGTGCCATACATTTCAGAGCATCCTTGATGAAGGACTTCCCCTGTGTGCACATGGAGAGAGTTATTGGAAGTCCCTTGGACTAAGGCATTCGCCAAAACCAAGAAAAAATACTTTATTGTCTGCCCTTTAAAGGTGCCTTGCACCTGTTTCAGCAGTTTTGGGCGTGTGTGTTGGGGATGGAACCCTGTTCAAAACCCTGTCAAATAGTAGAGATCTTCTGTGCTGGTTGGTCATAGATGTAAATTCCTAGTATGTGACCCTATAGGCATATTAACACCCCAGTCAAGCCTGGCTTGGCAGGGTCTCAGCCTCCGCTGTGTATGAAAAGAGAGCTGACTGGGCTGCCGGCCAGTTGGCTCCTGACCTCTGGTCCTAACGGTAGACACATCAGTCCACTGAGAGGCAAATTCACTTCCCAAGAAAGGAGAAGAGATCATTAGGGGTGTTTACTATTGAATTTACATCCCCGGGAAAAAACAACACAAAAAAACAAGGCAGACATTTTTTTTGTGGCATGGAGTCGTAGAGGACTGTAGAAAGGTGGAGCAAAGAAAAGGGAAACAAATGTGGCCACTGCTTGCACCGTAACAGAAAAAAGAGACACCAGCTCAGTACCTGAGAGTCAAATTTGCCAGCGTTGTGCAGGAACGTCATGCAGATTTCCTGTAGCCCTCGTATCTCGCAGGAGTTATTCTCAAAGCACTCAAACACACCACAGCCGACATCCCCAGCACTCACCAGGCAGTGCTGGATCTCAGCTGGAAACAGAGAACAGGTTAGGGGGAGGAACCTTATCATCCGCTCACACCCGAGGCGACAAGTTCTTTTGGAAAAGGCGTCGGGGCGATGAAGGCGACGGCCCGAGGGGCGCAACCACACTTCTGATCAAAACCACAAAGCCTGGGCGGCATGTGGCTATCTGCATGCTCGCAGGCGGCTGTTTGCGTCTCAGTAACTTAAAAGTGTGAAAGAAAAAAAAAAGAAGCAGGGGGGATGGAGGGAGGGGGGAGAAGTCGGATCTCTCCTGCTGAGGGGTTCCTGCAGAGGAACACTTGGTGACAGATATTACTGTGTCATTCTGCACCACAATCCGTCTGCACTGCCTAGCATTGAGATGGGATGGTGCATTGCAGATACAGGCTTTTACAACCACAAATGCAGTCCTTCCAGTTAATGCCTCTCCACGGAAAGTGCATCAACAAGTTCCTCCTTATCTCCTTTGCAGACTGACACAGGTTGCGAATTCTTAAAAAGAGCCACATTAAGTTATTTAAAGGATCACCAGCAGAAAATAGGAATAAGTGCATACATTCAAGTACCACTGGCCACTACTTTCTGCTAATTTTCCTAACTGAAAATAGGGAGTAGACATTTAAATTAAGACAGTAGCAAAGTAAGGTCTCTCAGGCTCTATGAAACACGTGACCGCCAGCAGAAACGGCTCTCCATCCTATCATCAGGACCGTTTTGATCACCTAAATCGACAGGTTTACAAGGTGGGCCAACAGGTCGTGCCCAGCCAAAAAAAGATGTGTCTGCGAAACCCCCTCCGCTAATGATAAAAGAAGATCCTCATTTACAGGCGTGGTGCGGACGGACTGGCGTGAGAGACCGTTCAGTCCGTGGACGCTGCGCACAGGTTGCGCAGCAGAGCCTCCGCCTTGACCGGAGCAAATGAAAAGATGAAATGTGACTTATTAGAAATCAAGTTTGTCAACAAAGAGCCTCTGTCTGGGGTGGGAGCAGCTGAAGGGGGAAGGGGGAGCCGCTGCTATGGGGTCTGTATGCACGGAGTTGAACTTTAGTGCGCTGGAAAAGTGAGCCGCTGTCAGCAATGCTTGTTTTGGCATCACGGGAATGTGCTTGGATCGTACGAGCTCAGCCGCAACGTGCATTGAATTACACAGTGGCGTTACCAGGGTCTCTGCTGCGAAACCTGCACTGGAGTTTTGTCCCCGTTTCTCTACTTGGAGGACAGATAACAACTATATACGTCTTGATTTGCTGAGACAGGTTTGCACGATCCCTCGGAAGCTGGCTGGCGCTATCTAGGAAAGGCGTTACAGGCGAAATAAAATACAGATTTCCAGGAGAGGGCTGCGCTCCGACGTGATGTCAGCGCTTATGCGTTTGTCGCCGTCTACTTTCACTTGTTTTGGGTGCTCTTTAGCTCTGTTTCTCCCCAAACCAAAGGTTAAACGGATCGCATCCAGCCCGCCTCTCGCTCTGAGGAGCCACCCACCACGCAGGCACCGCTCCACTAACCTGCTGGAACGCATCGCAACACATCGATTTCAGATTTTTTGAGAGTCGGCTGGCAGAGAGAGCTTGTAATTTTTCTTTTGCGCTACAACTGAAACATTTACCTACAAGGCGCGCACACACGCTGGCCGGCGCGCACGCTCACCCAGATGTACTGCCGTATGCGTTACCTATTACCTTGTGCCATTCTATTAATAGTTTACTAACATATTGGATTTCTTTGTGACAGGAACTGAAAAAAAAAAAAACAACAAATCGCCCTCCAAAGGAATCGATGATCGCCAATCGAGAGAAAACGTCGGGATTTAAGTCATAACCGTTTTTTTTTTTTTTTTTTTTTTTTTTTTTTTACAAATGGCTTGAACGTGCCTCCTTGCATGCTTTAATTTGCAGCCACCGAAACACGTGTCCGGTCCGACCTCACCTAAATCTGAGAGCAGCCCCGCATTCCCATTCCCATTCCCACGGACCCCCCCCCCTGCCTTACCTGTGTTCTGCAGGGAGAGACGTCCTTTCTGGCTGGCAGGCTTCTCCGGAGGGCTGTCGTGAATATCAATATCCGATCCCACTACTTGTTCCAGCACTGACAAAAGCAGCAGCGCAAAGGCAAGCTTGACCAACATTGCGTCTCGGTCAGAGCGCCTCTGATTCCAGCACGGATCCGGCCGTTTGAGTGAGTGCTTGTGCTCTTGTGTGTGTGTGTGTGTGCGCGTGTGTGCGTGTGTGTGTGCGTGTGTGTGTGTGTGTGTGTATGTGAGAGAGAGGGTTCACCTTGGATCAGCGATCAGCGCAGCTGCGGGCTCAGTGTCTTAACGGGGCAGCTGTGGGACTGAATGCTAGAGCTGGAAGGGATGCTGCCTATATTTCTCTGAGCCCCGGGTGTCAATTTGGATGAAGGAGTTAAGCAGGTGTTGTCGGTCGGGGCTTTGCAGCCAATCAGAGACGCAGAAATCCGCGTCCAAGGTTTTAGGGGAGTGTCCAGTGAAAGTCCCCCTTTTGCCATAAAACTGGCCTCATAAAAGCAATATTCATGTGTAAGTTAAACATGACAACCCTGCAGGTATTTACCAAGCAAAAATCTGCACAAGTGAATGTAATGATGTCAAGTATCAAGCCGCAGACCTCTAGTATTCAGCCTTTAAAGTCAAATCGTTTGCAGAAGCTCTGCTGTAAGTCAATTAACAGTTTTTGCCTCTTATGAAAGTTAAAAGAAAGCTTGGTTTTGCTATAAAACAATATAGGCCATTTAGGACGTATGGATAATGTATGGGAGCAGTGTGAGCCTGCAAAACTACATTTACATGGTATCCATACATACAGCCTGCTGTATAACTGAATACATTATGAGTGAAGCAATGACAGAAAACTATGTGTGTGTGTAACCCTCAGCCTGCTGATAATCTCAAACAAAGATGTCCTGCAATAATCCTTTGACAATATGATTATATTTTAGATACTATAATAGCTGTTTACTTACAGCCAAAGGCTCCTATAAATAGAATGTCTTAAACATTTTATGAGCAAACCAATTTGAAGAGGACTGTTACACAATGCCTGGTTTAGTCTGCTACGCTGCTAACCACTACAACGGGGAGTAATCTAAGAATAAAGGGAAAACTTCGACAGAACTTCACATTTTGAGAAGTTTTCGTCATTTCTTTTTTAATTCTCCCCCTTTTTTCAAGAGCAACACTTTAGGTCCGCATGGGGAATAAGTGTGATGCCCACAACGTCTCAACCATCTTCTAATCAACAACTACCTGCTGACAATGCTGCTTTTCAGGTAGAGGTCCCCTCGCAACAGCCGATGGGAGGAAGTGACCGTCGGGTATGGAGGAAGGGGGGGGGGCTGCAATCAGCTGTCGAGCCTCTAGGGGGCCCACGGATACAAATTGTCTGGTCCATTTCTTAATTACAACACAGCACTGGCCGAAAGCAACCGTAACGATCCCAGCATCCAACTCCTTAAACTGTAATCACAGGGCCTGCACAGTCACAACGTTTGGGCAACTGGGATTTTAGTTTTCTTTCTCCTCGTCTCACCCAAACGGGTTTGGATTGTGTGTGCAAATCAAGGAAAAACCCGCGCTGACATGACAAGCAAACTCTCCAAACCACGGCTGGCGGTTTACCGTCAAAAACGTCAGGTGTGAAACAAACCTCCATCTCCATCACTCGGCAGCAGAACACCGAGGAGCAGAGAGGTGGTTTGGTGTCTGTGTGTGACCCAGACCCCAAACAAATGCACTACTCCACTGCCCAGGCGCCCCATAAACGGCCATGGGGAAACGATTGGCGGTTGTGTGTGTTTGTGTGAGTGTGTGTGTGTGTGTGTGTGTGAAGGAGCAATAGAGGATGAGGCAGACAACCAGGCATCTGATTGTGGCCGGCAGAATTTCATAGATCTGTGACTTTGAAATCTGTTTATCATAACATTTCATTTGCTTTCACAAAATCCTTTTCATGGGAAACTCTGGCTCTGTCAGCTGGAAAAACTTTTAAAACCTAGGCTATATTTAGACCATCAATGAAATTAGCCTACAGCGGGAATTGGACTCCTGTTCTAACCTAACCAAAATGATGATCACTTAGAGCTCTAAATATAGATAATTATTATCTTGAGACTGCAGTATTTATCGTTTTAATTGAGGTTTTTTAGTCAGCGGAACAAGCTTTGGAGAGGTCGCCACGGCTGAGAAATGGGAGGTATTTTGGCCTGGAGTTGATGCAGTACAGAAAACCTCAACATTTCAATATTCCTATTATGCTCTTATGGTGGATGTGGTTGACTTTTCTGCCATGAATTTATGGTTATCATGTCCTACTTTGCCATCCACACTTATGATATTAATCTACATTTGATATGTCACCACTATAGTAACCCCCCCCACCACCACAACCACCTCGCTCATCCTCCCTGTGAAAAAAAGATGCAAACAAAGAGGGAAAGAAAGCAAAAAACATGTCTCCGTGTCATATTAAGCCTTAAGCCTAACTGATATGTGCAGCTTACTAGAGTTCCATCAAGCTCACAAAGTTGGGTGTTGTTCTTACTTCTGGATATGAGCTCGGTTTCCAGTTGAGCCTGTACCACAAAACTGGGATCTCCTGTTTAGTAAATGTCTGTTAAACAGTGCCAACACCTTCAGTTGGCTCAATGGGCATAATGCAGTTGGCCACAGGCTTCTAACAGCGTGTGCATCACTACTACCGACTGCTGCTGCATTTTGATCATATGGCTTTAAAACTGCTGGAGAGCCTCACTTCAGGCTTCACGGCCAAAAACAACACAATTGACATGATTGTTTATAGAATAATTTAATTTAAATAATTTCCCTCTGGGATTATTAAAGTATTTCTGATTCTGATTCTGATTCTGATTCTGAATAATTGATCTTCATGCTGATCTGGAAATCCACAAAAGCACATCTTTCAATCTTTCATTCAGTCCCTCCTTCAGTTAACCACTATTTTCAGTGAAGGAATTCAGCACAAGGTAGCATTACAGTGTTATTTAAACTCCACAAATCGTTTAACATCAGTAAAACATGAATCCATGAAATTTAAAGTCATCTTTGAGTTCTCGCATGCCCAAATATGTTAAAATGGACACACAGTTGCAGGTTCTGAATGGTTTTGGTATAAATCCGAACATGTTGAGCCACCTCATCTTAATTTTAGTGACTATTTATGCAGCAGGTCCAAAGTTTTCCTTTGCTGTTATCCAAGTGCAGAAATGTGAATTTTCAGTTCGTATTCAAGAAGTTTGTCCCACAAATGTGTTTCATGTCAAGTCAACGTCAAGTTTTTGGGTGTCAAGATGATGCTTCAGTGTTCGGCAAGACTTTCCACCTGTTCTTCATAAGTTGACTGAATTTCCGTGCACGCAGCACGGAGCTATCGCAGACAAATATCTGAAGTATGAGCATAGCTGTAGTCCAGTTCCAGAAGTTGGGTGCGTGGCAATTGGACGCTCATATTTTTCTTTTTAAAATGTGTTTTGTTTCAGGGCTGTTAAGACTATATGTCATGTTTACAGTGAACAAAGGCATTGTCCCCTCTCAGTGACACTGTCCAGAAAATGGACAAGTACACTTTGACAGCCATAGCATTCATTCACTTTGACTGCTGTACTGTAAACATACAAAAAGCAGACATGTGTTCTGAGTTGGGACCCCTGGGGCCCTGGCAAGTGACTGACCAATGAAACCACAACAGAGAGGCCAGGCTCGGGTGTGTGTGCGCGAGGTCTTTGTGTGTGAACCCGAGGGGGGGGGGTAGGCTTCTGTAATGGCAATTAATGTTACTAGTTTACAGACTCCATATTGCACTTTACGGGAAGCATGTGGGTGTAATTTGGTAACAAGTTAAGACTTTGTAGTAGAAATCTGCAGGGCAACAATGTCTGAAGTGTCCTGACAGAGGGTTCTTCAAAACTTAGTTGGTTCTTTAAGTCAAAGGAGCAATAATAAAAACATCACTGCTGATGTTGATGACTCAGATTATTCCGTCATATGCTACTTCAAACAGAATAACCTTTTTAGTCGTAGTCTGAGTGAAATTAGTTTGTGATTGTGAGTGACTATAGTCTTTAAAGCAATAAGTGGAGTCTGTTTTCCTTTTATTGGCAAAGCACACATTAATGTGCACGCACAGCTCAAGCCTTCTCATGTAACTGCATGCAATCCAAGCACAGCTCCAACTAGACTGTCATATGGAGAGCAAACAGCCTTCAGAATTAGTGTCCTGTTCTGTCATTTTAAAGAAAGCGACCCAGAACTTTGCCAGAATTTCTAGAGCATAGATTATTCTTTCACCCACATGGCAAAGTGTTAAAGATCATAATATCTGTATAACTTTGTGACCAGACAAGAAAGACTTCAGACATGAGAGGATCGGAGAAATCTTTTGAATGTAATGTAGCAACTATTCCTTTAAAACTCAACACATGCTTATTAAACATGCCCGTTTTCACACACAGACAGCTGATGCAGCCATTGCAACTGTGTGATTGCACATGGCTTCCATCTCATTGACACACTTCAGCTTGAGTATGTCAGGTGTTTACTTGCCATAATATTATTTGCACAAGAGGATCTTCACAAAACGGTGACCAGTCTGAGTGGTGCTGGAAAAAGCCACAGAAACACAATGTGAACAATCTAGACAAGAAATTTGAGCAGTATATCACAGCAGAGTTTGAGGTCTCGCTGTGTAAACACACTGTAACTTATAAAGTCACGTGGAGGAGAAGGAGCATGAGAAGGCTGGGCTGTGAGAAGAAGAAGCTGTGAAATATCAAATACCAAAGTCTTCGAGGAACCTGAAGACGATAGCTCAGTTTCTATTTTTGGGTCAGTTTAGGACTGTGTGCACTGTATGTGTATGAGAGTTATCAGTCTATCACCAGAGCTCTGTAAGGCTCAAATGTTAGCTTCCCAGGAGACTCACTTGGGAAAAGCATTCACCGTTTAGAAGATTAACAGAACACTTTTGGTCTTTTCTGAGGCTGTTTTATGAGTTTAAGAAGTTAAAAAACTTTGTCAACTCATAAAGGTGTGTTTAAACTTGACATTTGCTCTCTTCAAGTCTGCATGCTGCAGCAGAAAAAGGTACTATCGTGTAGCAGGGGGCGCACAGCCCTTCTGAGACTCAACTATTAAAACACTCTTTGGTGTGTTAACTCACCTGACTCGTGAAAAGAGCGTTTTTTACTGGCCCAGCTCAGCAGGCCAGCTCTGGGCTCTGACTCCGACTGGTGTGAAAGTGCCACATCTCAGACTTAACTCGCCTCAAACAATGTGCTATTATAGAGTTTGCTCTGTATGGGTTATATTGCTACAGTGCTGGCAGATTACAAAGTGCTCCGTCTCATTACTGTCCATATAAGCCCACAGGCCTCGACAGCACAAAGGCGTTATTGAGTGATAAGGGGAAAGAGATGGGCTGTAGCTTACCCATGAGAGCCCTCACCTTGGCTGCAACAGCCTTGATGAGGGCTGAGGTGATGTCATCATGGCTTGAGATACAGGGGTCGACCCCTCTGATAGGTGGGCATGCTGGGACAAACGAGAGGAGCTTGGGACACAAAGGCCCCATTTAATGAGAGTGAGACATGAGGCCAGTGTAGAGTCCGTGGGTGGCACATAGTGTCATAGCTGCTGAAAAGAGCAATTAATCATCTGATTCAAGAACTGGGCAAAGTGTTTATTATGTAAGGTTAGTTTTGACATCATCGCTGAAACAAAGTGAGTCTTTCTGGGTTACGTCTCTGTTTGATCACACTGATCCCCCAAATTTTCTCCGATCCCTGAATATTGGATCCGGGGATACTATATTTATCGTGATGACCAGGTCCAAGAATTGTGCAATAAAACAAATGACACACTTACCCCTCATTAGAGATGAAGGGTTCTTTGTGGCAGCCTGACAATCATTAAAACTTCTCCCCTGGCTTGGCTTGTTTACTCTCTGGTAATTACCAGGTGATTGTGTAGCCTGTGACCCATATTCAGAGTCAGGTCAGCCAAGACATGGGGGATAATTGACAATATTCAGAGAAGTGCACGTAGAGAAAGAGTGTTAGAGTGGATAGCCATTTGTTCCTGCCTCATTAGACTGTGTTAGAAGACAAGCTGACTCACAGTATTTTTGTAGTGGAACAATACCTCTTTCCATTGTAAGACCCTAATCGTGGCTCCCATGTGTAGATGAGTTTTGACAGAGTATGTAGCTGCTCTATCAATCACTTTATACATTTATTGACTTACCCATTAGAAATACAGGAAGTAAGTTGAAAATCTGGGTATGTGATGTGAAAGTCTTCTGCTATGAAAGAACGGAGAGCCACGCAAAAATAAATCCATGCACAACACACACGTGCTCCAGTGGGATTTGTGTTGTCGTTGCAGAGGTTGGTTGCCACTCTCTTTGTATGCCTGCTCACCTTAATGAGTTTAAGGTTGTGTAATAATGCTGCAAATAATTTTCTGCAACACGAGGCTCAATGTGTTTATTATGTACAGAAAGTAATACTGGCGCAAGAAACGGCTAAACAAAGCTGACTTAAAGCCAGTCCTAACAAAAACTAATGGAATGTATGTCTCCAGGATCACTAAGGCTGGCAGGGCTCTCGAGTCTCTCTACTATAGGGCACTGTGTAGCCCAGCTCTCTGGGTGTAAATCCAGCATGTAAATGTCAGGAAAAATTTAAAAGACATAAATCACTGCTGATGTATCACATAGGGTTACCCGACCATCTCCCCGTGGTGGCTTTGTGTGAGATCCTGAATGCCAATGCTCTGAGGTGCCACAGTGCTATGATGCCTAGAAACAATGATAACACTATTAAATGAACTGCTCCTTCATTTATATCCAGTTACCAAAGAAAAACAGAAGGTTAATTGACCATTTCAGTGTTGATTGATTTCAGTTGTTTCCTGCAAGTTCAAGTTCAGCCATGTAACCCATTTCTTTGTGATCGGGCTGCCAAAAAAAACGTCCTGTGTGCCAACGTTTTAACCCAAAGCATCGAAGTCACGGCATCAAATTGAATTTGACCAACTGCTAAAGTTTGTTTGATGCTGTTGTCATGCGTCACTGGAATATAAATGTTGAGATTTCGAGGATAAAATGTAAATAATAAACTTTTATTTGGGTCCTTGATTAGCCAGTGCTTTTCAGATACATCCAGAACCTTTTGTGGATATGCATTGGTGAACAACAATAACCCTAGTAGCTGGCTCATTATAAAAGTGTTGTTTGACATGGCTTTATTAGAGAGCGTTGTTTCTGTTCTGGCACCTGTATTTGCACAAAAAAGCATTTGCTGTTATGGTAATTATACAAAAGGCTCTTATAAGACTATTTGTCTGTAAAGAAAGCAGCCTATTGTAGTGCTGAGGAGTACCATATGAATCCAGCTCTTTTTCTTGTTTGGAAAACAAAAGCACCATGAAAGTAACTATTTGTGATAGTGGTAAAAATAAGCACACGATATATTTAGAATAGTTTAGGTTAATTAGCCAGTGCATGAATTAGTGGTTGGGTCCAGATGAAACCAGCATGTCACAGATGCTTGAGAACCTCAGTGCCATGAGGTTACAATTGTAGGATGTTTTGGGATATTTGTTGTTTACGATGTGTGTTCTACAGTTAGAGGTAATTGATTGCTGTGATGGTGTGCATTGGAAAATGTTGTATTTTTCCGTAAGGCCAGCGGCTTGGTGGGGGCTGGGCCGATACAACAGATGAAAAGCCTCCTTGGACCGTCTAAACTTCCCAGGAATTTCTAGAATTCCAGTTCTTAATTATGACATCCGCGGAGCAGGGGCCCAACAGCTCCAGCAGCACTGCAACACCCATTACAACCCAGACCTGCGTGAGCACATGCACGCACACGCACGCACGCACAAACATGCGCGTACATTCCTGTTGCCCCTCTGCTGGCATCATCACGGCTGACAGGGGGAAAGTGACTCAGTATGGAGGGAAAAGATGGAGAGGCTCAGTGCCATTCAATAAAATACTCCTTATTTATTCATCAGAACTTTTTTCCACAATTTCTTTGGGGACAAATAGTCTTCATCTCCTAATTGTACAGCTATTCTTACCAGCTGGGGAAGAAAATGTCATTATTCAATTAAATGATTTGTGTTTTTGCCACTTGTTACCTTTCTAATAGTTGCACACTGATATCAAGGTACAAAGTACCATATAGTGATAGAACAATCACACGATCCAACAAGCAACAATGAACAGTGAACTTTGAGAGAAGAGAAGTTCCAAAAATGATTAAAAAATCATTGTTTCACAAAAGCAGTCTAATGCACACGTTCTATAGAAACACATTACCCGAAAAGACACTGGAGTAAAGTATGTAAAGTACTACAAAGCGAAGAAGGAATATAATATAGTGGAAGTGTACACTATTACTGACTATAGCATGAAAAAGGGGCAAATAGCTTGATTGTTCATTCTAGTTATAGTTTATTACATATATTATAACATCTATTAGCATCATGTATCAACAACTCTCATTACACCACCATTATCATGGTTTTACTTGTTGACCATATCCTTTTCTTTTCTTTTCTTTTCTTATGTTCAATATTTTGGTCCTGTCTACCCATCCCCTCTCCTTTAGTAATGAAAAGACATTTGAGCTATCACTAACTGGCCTTTAGCTGGAGTTTTTAAAACATATATATTATCATTTGAATAACTGTTCTTATTTATTCCTTATGCAAGCAGGAGCAATACAATATAAGGCACAATGAAAAATTGCTGTAGTACTAAGCAACCTGTGATAAACCACACGCTGAGGTTAAATGTAATACTAGGATCTATGCCAGCAAGCCAACATGATTACTTCAAGAACTTTTTTGCTTGAAATAACATTTCCAATTCTATTATTTTTCACATTGCATCTGACAATCTGATATATCTATCCATAAAAAGCATGGTCCCTTTTGTCTTTGTGACTTTGGTTCCCATTGACATGACTTGGTATAGAGTAATATGTTGTGAGCTTGGCTCCGTGCACAACCTTCTCATTTCACGTCCCAGAAATGCCTTTGGACACATATTCTATGGTGTAAGCTGTGGGAGGTATAAACTGAGACTGGGTGTTTCTGTTTGCTCGGTACATTTCGTTCCTTGGGGAAATCTCACTGATTAAGTGCTACTATTTTGACAATATGTCAACTCACTAGGAGAGAAGATGAATTTATGTGCTTGGCTTTTCAGTAAACAGCATTGCTGACCAACATATTCCCAACCTCAGCCCGTGCAGTCTGTGAAAAGGGGTCAGAGGCCTGCTTTTGTAAAATTAATCACCATTTAAAAAAGAAGGGAAAAAAATCCTGTACATTTTTTTTAGCGCATCGGGGGACGTGTATGAATTCACCACGATAAAAATATGCCAGTTCCTAAAATACATATGCATGTCAATATTTTTAGGAGGCCTTGGCTAGACCACTCTGTGAGTCACCCTGGGAATAAAAGGGCCCTTTATTAGAGATGGCACACAGGGGTCCTTCATGGGGCCCACGTGGGCACTTTATAACATCTGACATAAGCATTAGTGAGTGTGGTTACCAGAGCTTGTGGTTCCATCACTGACGCTGCGTGGCTGATAGAGTCCAGTCTTATGGGGTTGGAAAGCACATTCACGCTCTCTTCCTTCTGTACTGCCCTGCGAACAGAGAAACAAAGAGTGGAGGAAAATTCAGATGGTATAAACAGAGGTCTAAAAAAAAAAGAGAAAAAAGTGGAAGGAACAAAAAATGCACCGATGCTGGACTGAAATCACACAGAAGCAGTTGGATAAACACCACAAACATATAAAAATCCTTAGGGGGGCTTTAGACCAAAAGAAAGAGGCTACTAATTATTGTTGGCCAGTGCTATATTAACCTGCACCAGAAGGGCTGGCTAACTTCACTTCTACTACTTCTGACAAAAAGCCTCTCCAAAATGGTTGATGTAGGTGTATACTGTAACCTCTGACAGGAGAGCAGCTTCTATAATACCTTCTGAATGACATGCATTGATTGAAAAATAGAAATAATATATCATGATGACTTTATTCTCAAGTCAGCAAAGGCCAGTATAGATGCAGGAGCCGACAACTCTTTGTAGTCAAATGTTTGTGACCATGCAAATTTTGCCCTGACAGCACAACAAAATAAACTGGGAATGAGCAAAAACAAATAAATACTCCGGAACCAGATCCCCTCTCGATATGTGAGGAGCAAAACCGAGGTTGCTTATCTTTAACTTGCAACGTTTGAAACCACACCACATGGTTTCAAACGTTGCAACCGTACGTTGTTTTTAGAAGACGTGTTTTGATATGCAGAACTTTTCAATGGACCTATAAAAGTACAAAAACAAACAGATGCATTAGAGCATGCATTTTAGCGGGGGATTTTTTTAAAGTCCTTCTAAACATGCACATTGGTTTTCCCGCAGCGAAAGGCAACAAATGCACCACCTGAAAAATAAGTTTAATAGACCTGAATTATTCTAGAAAATGTGCTGGCATATACAAGAGGTAGACAAGGGACTTAAGCCTTTTGCTGGAATTGCTGGGCTGAGTGCTTACCAGAGGAAATCTCTGGTGCGAACAGGTGTTTGGTCAGTTTTAATTTCTTGCTTGAGCCTGCTTTGTTATGTGTCATTCTTCTAAGTCCCGGGCTTGCCCAAGTGCTCTGATCTCCTTGTGTTCCAGGCTTCCATGGTTAGCTTGCTTGACCAGAAAAAAACCTGATAGTGCCTCCCGTGGAGTCCTTAGCGGCACCCATCCTTTTTCATCTTTGCCTCTGGTATGTTCTCTTCCCAGCTTGTGCCATACAACAGCTCTTCAGCTTATTGACTTCTCAACTGTTCCGTTTCTGAGAGCCCAGGCAAACTACTTTAACACCACTTTGTCCAAAAGTGTCTACTGTCTCCACACAGAGGCTGACTGACCTCCCCTTGCAGGTCATGCACACACTGAAAAGGTCAGACTTTTAAATGTAGTGTGACTTTAAGTTGATGTTCCGAGCATAGATGAGCAAAACAGTGTTCACGGAATGCAAACAGCAGCCATTTGATGTCATCCAAACATCTACCCTATAATAACCCCCCCTAAGAGGGTTGTGGCAACATCGCGCCACTTCCACCTTTAATTCTGACAGAAGACAGTCACAATTCACATGACTACATGAGGTCCCTGCCATAAAATCATAAACACGTCAATTAAAGCATTTGATAAGCAATTGCTGAAGTTTTTTCCCCCTCTCTTTCCTCTCCTCTTATTTATTTCGGCCGACGAGGACCAGCATCCAACTTTTGCCAGTGTTGTTCAGGTCAGGAATGTTGGATAACGTGCAACCAGTTTGCAGGCCATGCTTAAGTGTTTGTGTTTGTATTCGTATGTGTGAACATTCCTGGCATTGGTAAGCATCAGGGTTGAGTACACAGAGGGGGGGTCAGTGCAGTACATGTCGACCAACTCTGTGAACCCTGGAAGTCTTGTTCATCCTTCCTTATAATCTTGTATTGAAAGATCTCAGTAGGACGGAGAGAGGATGCTGTATTCGTGTGTTAGTGCAAATTTGAAAAACACATTTACAGAACTCAGAATGTTTTATCTACCCACAAAACACTTACTTTCCCATATCCAGTAAGCACCATAAACTGAATTATATATCATTACAAATCAGTTCCATGCTAAGTTTTCAAAAACAAAAAAAAAACGCTAAGAAGTTATGTCTTGCTTTTCTGAAACTATGTGACCCAGTTTTCAAATTTCCAATCTCCCCGTGCTCTTAATCTGTTACATAAAGCCAAGAGATATCTTAGGAATTCAAATGTGTTTTAAACTCTCCAATTTGTGTCTAAATAATTAATTATCAGTTTGACAAATCTCCTGCAACCCTGTTTGCATCTGTTAAACAACCAGAAATAGCATCTCCACCCAAAGGTTGAGAACTCTCCTGTATACAACATATTGGTTCTAAAAAGAGCGAGGTCCATGGAGTCTCAGCGTGGTGCAGTTTTGCTTTCACAACATTGCAATGGCGGGCGCCACTCATCTTCATGGTTGTGGATTCCAACCCCCAATCAGATGATTACACTCTCTTGGCCACTCCGGCTTATGCAGTCATACCTGTGGGTTGGGTGGGAGATGCAGACAGTTAGTGAATTGATCATTTATGGTGAGAGCAGCAGCTCGGGTCTGAAAGTGGTCTTAGTGGAGTCTGTCACGGTAGGCTTGGTGAGCGAGGCAGACAATGGCTCCTCTGGTCCTCCTGTGGTTAAAGGCTTCTGTGGTCAGAGTTAATCCCAGGAGCAGTGCCACATGATTTGAGTTAGCCTCAACCTATATGTCTATGGGCTAAAGCCTTTGGTTGATAGCTGAGCAGACAAATGTGCTGTGGCTTGTGTGGAGCTGCTACCCCAAAGCTCTGCTTGTTTTTGCGACCTGGCCTGGATAAAACTGAAGTGTGGACTATTTTCTATTCGCTGGTTAATGTGTGCAGGAGATATGGGTTGCAGCGACTTGGCCTGGGGAGCTAAGGATGCAGCAGACATGCACAGTGATGAGAAGTATGTGGTAATTATTGTGTTCAGCACTGCCATCTGTCAACTATATACTTTTAAATATTTACTGGTACTGCATTCCTCCTGCTGGGTTAGTGGATGGGATGCACTTTGTACTTAATGTCTGTGTGTGTGTGTGCATGTGGAAAATGCATGCATCCAGTCGACAAACTGATGCATCTGGTGTGCAAACCAGATTCACTGCCTTGGGCCATCTTCCATTGTAGTACTTCATTGTCCAATTCTTCCACTTCTCCTCCACTTCTCACTTGCTTTCTTATTTTCCCATGGTTTATACCCCATGAACACAGTCAATCTTTTAAATATATTCACATTTTTTCAGAGATACAGTTATTCACTGTATATACAAATCTATTTTTGTCCATTTGAACTGCCTTTTTTATGCATGATAGATTCCAACGATGCCTCTTGTAATGTGCAAAGAATTAAGTGCATTATTTGTGCCTGTCGTTGGTGGGATAGGGGGTGCATATGTGTGAGGGTGCTGGGGTGTGGGGGGGCTGGTTGGATTGGATGCTTTTCACAGCAAAACAAGTCCGCTTTTATTTATGTTTTGTGTACAGCTCTGTAGTGGAATTGTTACCATGCCAAAAACTGTAAAGAAGTGCAGATCAGGGTGCTGCATTTTCCTCTCATTAATCAACATTTTGTCCTTTCGGCCCTCTTCAAAATGTATGCTACATTCTGCTCAGAGACATTTAGAATCCCTTCCGCCACTGAAGCACAGCAAAATTATTACATAAATACGACAATACAAACATAAAAAGTAGCTCTCTCCGTTAGTCTGAGTTGAATCTAATTTTAGAAACACAGGTCAGCACCTTAGTGTGACCAAAACTGTACGAAATCAAGCTTTTATAAATGGGAGAAGACACACAGATCATGCACTTACATGTGTACCGTCAACAAGAACCAAATAGGGCTAGGCTCAATGATCTTCAACAGAAAAATTTTAAAAGGGTAAAATTTTTCACACACAGTCCACAGCTTTGGTTTGGGGACTGTTTTGCTGAATGAATCGGTTTCCTGTGGATGTACACTCAGTTGAGGATAGCTGTAAATTAACGGTCACGTCGAGCTGTAACCATATATTTTAACATGCATGTCCTAAAGGAGGGAATTCAACAAAGACTATTGTGATTGCTGGGAAAAATAAACAAAACATTATTGGAAGAGTCTAAATATGACCTGGAGTAATCCGGAGTTTTGTTTCACCCAATACCAGACCCATACAAAGCACACTGCACTGCCGAGCCAAAACCACCGCTGTGGTGGTAGCAAGGCGCTGAAAGGAAAACTAATGCTTGCAAAAGCTTTCACGGATTATTCCCAATATTCATTGGTAATGCTCTATGGCCACAAAAAAATCTACCGAAATACGACACTATGGAGGTTCACGCTGTGGGCTTTGTTGTTGCCTTGGATACTGTAAGCATTATATCTTAGAAAAACTTTGTCAGAGCAGATTATAAAGTTATTGTCACCAGTTTTTTGTTGTTTTGAATGTAACTACTGTGATGCTCTTTGGGGCTACCTTTAGCGGGCTAGATAGCAGATCTCAATGGGACCTTTTCTCAAGAAAATTTGTTGAAATATTCAGCAAGGTGGAGTGGGAGATAGTCATTGACAGAGTGACTGAAGCAATCTGATCAGGGATCTATGAAGGATAAAGAATAGGCTGGGTAGAAAGTGTTTGTCTTTGGGTTTTACCTGTTATGACACCAGCTGTCTTGACTCTTCAAAGATTTAAAAGAGAGCTTAAGTCTTTGCATATGGAATCCACTTATATTGTAAGTGCTTTAAAACCTGTAAAGATTAATGAAAAGTTTACGTCTTTGCTGATTTGACTTAAGCCACTCACCCATCTTGATGTTCATTATTCTCTTTGTGGCACCCGGCCTCACTATGGACCAAAGGTAGATGTGTATGTGCAATTGCTTTAGTGTTTTAATTCTTTTTTTATGGCAGCTTCATCTTCCATGAGTTTTCGGTGATGTCAGAGGAACGTCTGATGTCTGGAAGCTGCTCTTGGCAAACGACCAGGCAGGTCGCTCTGTAAACAAGACAGGCTCATGGTACATGAGGTCTCCTGTAGCGCGTTTGATGTTGTCGGCTGTATATGCACCAAGCAGTGGTCTTGGCTATTGCAGGGGGACCCTCGAAGAAATCTGTGTTGTTATAGGAAGTGTCCCAAGCCACCGCATTAGCTTTTATTCCCCACAGCCACTCATGACAAACCAGCAGGCTTCACATGTGGCTTTTTTGCACACACATACAGACTTACAAGAGCAGAGTGGTTCAGACTAATATTTTATAGACCTGTTAAAACAGCACCATAAACAGAGGCTTCACTGAGTAATACTTGGGGGTCTTGTCCCGTAAACCAACAACCCATCAAGGCAGGGATTTTTGTGTATGTGTGTGCACAGCCATTAAAATTCTGTCATTATGACGTGTGGAGTTTAACTCTCATGTGTAAAATGAGGTGTGTGATTCAATACATGAGAACTCAGCAATTTATAAGACATGGCAGTATGTGCTGCACATCCAAAGCATTCGGTGTGGGTGTAGTCTGTTAAGCAGCCCGTCAGTGGCGACTTTACTGACATCTCAACTTTTCCTTGAAGGTCTGTATTTCTCATGGCAATAAACTTCATTAGTTGGCCTCATCTCCCGCTAGCTTGACAGTCAAAATCACACTTTCATTACCCCCACACCCCCCCTTAGAAAGAAAAACAAGTTAAAATATAGTTCTCTGAAATATTATATGGTTAAGCATTCCCAGAATATATTATTCCTAGAAAACTGATTGCTTAATTGCTGGAACCCTGCTAAAGCCAAGATGTGGGCCAAACAGTTTCAACGAAAGTCAAATGTGGAAGGGGATTGGCACAGGGCTCCTTTTGGATTATCTCAGTTGAGTGCATTATGGTGGGAAATGGGATATAGATGGTACGCAATGATGCGAGTCAAGTGGTGTGGAGATGTATGAAGGTGATCATGTTGCTTGTGGTTCAGATTGCTGAGATAACTGAACCACTGAGTTAGCATTCTTCCTGTTCAACCTTAATGGACTAGCTGGTGGACACCGAGGCCCGCATTGTTGTCAGAGTCCCACATATGCACACATGCTCAGCCAAGCCTGAGTGCCACCACACGTGAATGCAGATAAATGCAGCGAGTGCCTGAGGTTTCCAGCTCGGCTGTGTTATATGAGTAAATGATTAATCCACATAGTTGGACCCTGTCTCCTGTCTGCAACAGCATACTCCAAGGCCATACAGCTGGTACCAATTTGCGTTCCCCTGCCACATCATGATCCAACTGCATGTGTAGGAATCAGGGCTTATCGCGGCTGTAATTCACTCCCTGCTCTCATGCCAAGGCTATTCTTGGCCTTTCTGCCACTTTATTTTTAGTTAGCGTTACTTCTCCGGGTCATTTAAATGGCCTTGAAGTAGTGTGATAGCTCAAAGCGGTGGAACCCGGGTCGTTGACTGTCATGAATCACCTTTAGGATGCGTGCTTCACTGCAGTTAGGTGTTACAACCTTTTCCGAGTTAAACAAAAACTGCTTTGCGTCGCTCTTTAAAGACACAGATGTTACCACTCACCTAGATGTGCTGGAACCAGGAATCTATCGGTGTTTTTCAGTCCTTCCAGTGTTGTGACTGCTGATGTTTGGGTGCACATTTACATGTGAGGAGTTTGCTTCTTGTCGTATCAGGTTCATGTGACGCTGGACTAATAAAAGTCTGGGCCCCATTAAAGCTTTGGCAAATGAGAACACAGGGAAAAACAGACAAGACAGTCAGATACATCTTTGGGAGTGTCATCATCACAAGCAACATAAAATTCAGTCATACAAGGTGTATTATATTTCCAGACTGCAGCAAACCCTGGGGTGACCTCAGAGAGGGACAGATGCACTCAAGGCTCCTCATTTGATGACCCAACTCACCGGTCAGCAGGAAATGAACTCTTCTCCCAGTTCTCTGTTTCTTGGCTCATCCCTAGGTTCCTGAGTAGACTGAAAGCCACAGGGAACATGGAATGCATCCCAGATTAACATAATAGAGTTAATTGTTGGAATAAAGTTCAGTCAGGGGACAGTCCTTGAATGCTCTCACTCCTTTTTGGTTTGTAACTCACTGTGGTCCAAGATGACCTCACTCCACTCACCACCTCATACCTGAAGCTGAGCTCTCAGTTCTAAGGTAATGCCAGCATAGTTTGTCTATTACTGTGACTTCGTCTTTGTTCAGCTCTTTAATACCTGCACACATGCACACAGAAGGTAGATTGATGTGTGGAAATTGATTCAAAAGATACACTGGTAACAGACATGAGCAAAAAACTGGCAAGATGGCATTGAAGCAGATATCACTCTGAAATCTATATATGTGCATCCTCTGTTCAAACATTACTGTATCCAGTTAGCAGAATCACTGATGGCAGTCATGAGTTAGCAATTTCCTTCCTTTATGAATTCTCATAATTTGTCATTTCTCATTAACTCATCAATTGAATAATGCTATCATTACATGCTAAATAGATTTTTCAATGTTGACTTGTAGGATACGCAAGTCAACAATATTCAGAATTATCATTTCTTCTTTTTTCTTTTCCCTGTGTTTCTGCCCTCCGTGTTTGACAGTATCAGCAAAATGGTGAAATAGTGAGTGATAGAAATGTCCTTTTCACCATGATCACATTCAACAGAAACAGCCAGCATCTTAAACATCTTAAACCATGATCAGGGGGCAGAGTTCACCAGTCCATCACAGGGCCACATAGACACAAACAACCACACACTCTCATTCACTCCTGTGGGCAATTTAAAGCCTCCAATTAACCTAACATGCGTGTTTTTGAACCTGTGCATGCACAGTGAAAACATGCAAACACCATGCAGAAAGGTCAAGGTTTGATTCCCCCTAGGAAATCAAACAAGGAACCCTCTTGCTGTGAGGCGATGGTGGTAACCACCACTTTATGGTGCATCCTGCAGAAGAACCATGGTTGGTAGGCTGCACCAAAAAAAGAAAAACTTCATTTTTTACATTTTTGTCTAAGTGCAGTTCCAAGATTCTTGTCATAAACATGTAAACAGAACATAGAGAGCCTCCACTTATCCGTTTTGATTTGTTTTCTATGGAACTCATATTGTAGCAACTGTAGATGTTTTATTTTAATAAAATATAATTGCCAAACCTAATAACTAATAAATAGAGCTTTGCAATGTTAATCTCGGATATATATTGCAATATTCACAATGCATTTCAACACCACCATTATTTTTATTACTGCCTGCATATGAGAAAAGCAGACCAAGAACAGTTATCTAAATGCCAGCATTTTTCATCTGCACTCACAAACCCCTTCACTCAGGATCAATACACAACATGCTATGAAGAGTCTGTGATAAACTGTTCCCAAACATGCATGCACATGTAAACAATATGAAATCCAAACAGAAAAGGGGCTTCTTCGAGCCTATTTATTTTTTAAAGTCTCAAGAACAACTCAAAATAAAAATGTAATCTTTAATTGAGCCATTTTTTTCTGGTTCCTGGATATGAGGCTGCAGTACAGACAATCCCTTTTTTCATGTGCAAGATGTCGATATTGAGAAATATACTCAGTCACTGAGACCTAAAATGTAGTGAGGTGTGGAAGAACTAGTTACTTTGAATTTATATAAAAGTGGAAATTGTTCATTTATCAATCAATTATGGACTTAATTGGTCTAAGGCCTGACCCCTGTTGCATAATCTGTTCTCTTTCTTTCAACAATATTGTTTCTACAAAAATTGTATTGTTTTTCAGTTCATATAAACAGACTGGATTGTTGAATCATGCCTTGCAACCTACAACCGTTTTTCAGCAGAAAGATGTCGACAGAGACTTAAAGTAAAATAAGACCTGTGAACTTGTTTCATATCAGTATTGTTTATTGATTCCGACAAAGAGGGAGATGCGTGGTTATAGAAACTTTGTGGGATGATTTGGGGTGACTAAAGCCTCTTTTTTGGCATATGTTGATGATCAGTTTTCCTTATTACAATATCTCCACTGGATGGACCCATGCTCTGTTTGGAGAGCAGCTCCAATGTCATCTTTCCTATTAGCTGTGTAATGCCTGTGCTAGCATGCACGGGTGAGTGCTTCAGCAGCCAATGGGAATGCGGTGTAAAAAAAGGGTGCAAGGCAGAGACATCCAGGGAAAAAGTTTCCCAAAGAAGTTTGTGCTGTGGAATAAAGAGAGATAATTAGAAATCATATGAACCTAAGGCCGTTTTTAGAATAATCCCTCAGGAAAAAACTTTGAATAATAATTTTTATTTTTTTATTCTTAATTTTAGGAACAGAAAAATAAATAAGTTTGTTTAGAATTGTTAAAACTTCCAGAAAACTACACAAAACATTATTACTATGTTTAATATGATCAATATTACTATTCTATTTTCAACTTCACAAATACATATATACATGCTTTTTTTTCTTTTTTGCCAAATTGGTTTTAGACATTAAATGGCATGTCTTTTTTTGTCGTTTTTGTTGAATGCTGCCATGTTCATGTGTTTGGATTGCAAAACTGGACACAAAATCAGCCCGATAATCATCTAATCGAAAAGAGAAACAAACCATATTTAACCAGACCTGTTTGTTACAGACCTGAGCCTCCAGGGTTCGTGTGCGTGCGTGCGTGCGTGCGTGCGTGCGTGCGTGCGTGCGTGCGTGCGTGAGTGCATGCGTGCGTGCGTGCGTGTGTGTGTGTGTGTGTGTGTGTGTGTCAGAGAGAGAGAGACGGACAGAGAGACAGAGAGTGGGTGTTTGAAGGATAACGAGCTGCCAACACTTCAGTTCTCCTCGGTCTGGCCAAACATAACACTGGCACAGCAGCAAAATGGCTGTAGCAAGGACAGTGGCATCCAGCAGGAGACTGCCAAGCTGAAGCAGCAAGAATCAAGTCTATGCAGAAAAAGGTCACACCGTAGCCTTTGGCCTAAAATCCACACAACCACAACAAGGTTCCAGCTTGAGTGACAGATAAGAATCTTATTCTGGACACACTCGCCCGTGTAAACGCTCTCCTCTACAGCAGCTGGTGATGTCTTATGGCACTGAACTCATAATCTTATACCCCAACGAAGTCTAGTGTTTCAAGACAAAAAAAAAATCAACCAGCCACCAGCAAAAGCTTGATCAGATGTAATTTGACAGAAACAGAGGCTTTGTCTCTCTGAGAATTACTCCGGTCCAAACACTGAGGCTCCTCCTTCTTTCTAATGCAATTTGTACATGTCTAGTGGTTGCATTCTAATGATTTAACTACTTTGTGGAAAGAAGAAGCATTGATAGATATAATTTGTCAAAACCAGTTTTTCCACCATTCATCACAGGCGGAGGGGTAATTGTAGAGGGTTAAGCTTACGGAACATTCCACCAAGGAAGGAATGATGGGGGTAGATAAATTCAGCATCTCTCTCCTAAGCTGGACAGAACTGTCCTCCATTAAGGCATGTGTTCTGATGAGTGATTCAGTATGTCTATATTGGGCTGGAACTCGAAACAGTGACATAAAAACACAGCTGGCAGCAGCTTCACAAATCCCACATCAGGCCCAAGGAAACCATAATCACCACTTTCATTTTTCAGCTTTGTTTATTTCAGAGGCTGGGGTTACAATTAAGACCATTTGCCTTGCAATTACTGTGTTAAAAATAATAAAACAATTTAGGCCTACCTAAAATACCTGCATTTTGTGTAATGATTCAGGGCGTGCAAATTGAAATTGCAACGTTCGGGCATTGTCAGGGAGCTGTGTGAAGTTGCCAGTGTGATAGAACTATGTTTATCTGGTTGTTTGTCTGCTTCTGGGCTGCTAGTGCTTTGTCAGAGAGGAGCCAAACCCTGGTCAGAATTTGTGCCCGACCTTTGCTGGATAAACTTAGCTGTGTGGATGTATAATGTCATGATTTACTACAAGGATTAGTTTTTCAACAGCCACAATGTAACTGAGGAACGTCCCTGAAGGCCAGTAAGTAAATTCCCCTGTCAGTAACCCACCCCCATCCCCACCTCCCCACAGCACTACTAACTCTAATTTTCCCAATAAAGTTAGACAGCTCAGCCAGTCTCGACCTCAAGGAGGAATCACATACTATGGAGGGTAGTGGCTGTCTTCAAAAACTGACCTCCAGCTCTTGCACAAAAACTATCATTGTTCTGCACCTTTTGGAGACCATGAAATAATTAAACTATTCAAGATATCTGGACAAATTTCAGTATATAAGGGGTAGATGTGTGGGCTCAGTTTTTCATAAATTAGAAGTGAATTAAACTAAATCGGAGATAGGAATTACTTTGGGGGGGGGGGAACTACAGCACAATACTAGAATAACAGCAATACAGCAATGCTTCACATATTGTGCAAAAAGAGAAGCTTTATATAAATTTCTATGAGCTCGGTGGCATCACACTTGACGATATATTATATAAACAGTATTCTAAATCTCCTTTCGGAAGAGGTGGGTGCTTCATGGTGTGGACCATTCATTCCATCATCAGTAACAAGTACAAAATCCAGGCTGTGTGATGGCATCAGTGTTTCCAGCAAAGCTCATTTACTCTTTTGTGATGGAATCATCAATGCAGTGAAGCACATTGTTTTCAAGGCATATTGTCCAAAAGAAGGCCAAACTGTATTATGCACATATTACTTAGTGTGCCACCAGGCCAGATGTTTCACCCCACTCACGCACAAAGGTTTAGATGTAGATGCTGCTCTAGTGACTAAATCTTCTCCACTGTTTTCCATCTATTTTGGTAAGACAATAGAAACCACTTTCTGGCTACTTACAAAAGCATAGCTGCAGAGGAAGAGGGTATTGATACTGAACTGGCCAGCCTGGAATCCTGAACTGAGCTCACTGAGAGAATATAAAATAAATTATATTTTTTTAAATCCCTCATTTTCATCACCATCCAGTTAAAAATCATGAAAACCAAACTCAACAATGCGCAGATGAAAATAACCTGTTACT